GGCATGCACGAATTGGAAACAAAGCAGTACGTCTGCCCCAAAACCTTTGCAAGCACAAAAAGTATTGGAAGTAGGATGAGGTGAAAACACCCTTCTAACCATCATGAGCACAAATTGCCATTAATGAGCGGTGAAAAGGATGTCTGGAGTTCTCCTGGATCAGGCCAGTGGGCCTTTTATTTTCATTTTAATTTTATTTTTATTGAATTTTACAAGAAAAGAAAAAGAGAAACAAAGAACAATACATAACACTGTAAACACATTTATATACATGTTTTCCAAAATGCAAACTAAAAAAAAAGACAAAAGGGGGAAAAAATACTTTGCATAACCAATAATATTACCAAATTCATGCTTCAAACATTACAATATATAAATCCTAGTTAAAATATTATAAAAGGCTTCCACCGCATTTACCATAACCGTCGCTTAGTTATCTTGCTCGCTTTTACATCTGTTCTTCCATCATTTCCCTTCCTTAGGTTCTTTCATAATCCGTCAAATCTTTATGTTCTCTATATTCTTCGCAAGGTTAGTCTAAGCACAACCAAACTTTTGTATTTGAGCCCTGCTTGTATAAATATTCATTTAAGCATTCCCATTGTTTCTATATGCCAGGGGCCCTTTCAGTCCAGAATTCTGCTCCCAAATTGGTCACCCTGGGGCCTCTAATAAATTCCGGAGCACAAAAGCCCCCTCTCACCCCTCCTGTGGTTTCCGACAACCATCCCCAACCTGAAGCTGGCTTCTGGAAGATTCAGGGCAGAGGATAGAAAGTCACTTGCACAAAGTGCATAGTTAAAAACTGTGGAACTCACTGCCACTTGAAGCATAGCTGTCAACCGTCCCTTATTTGGCGGGAAAGTCCCATATCCCAGCTCCGTGTCCCGCTGCTGTCCCTTATTGATGATGTCCCTTAAATTTCCCGGGTTTCAAAGGAAGCAGCTCCTCTCCCTCCCTCCCTGCTGGCCAGGGAGGAGGGAGGCTCCAACTGGGTTGCTTGGCTGCGTTGCTCACCCAATAAGGAGTCTAAGAACGACTGGGGGGTGGAGCTCGCATGCCTTGCGCCAATCAAATCGGCCGCGTTGCCTGGGGACTCGCCTTTGCTCAGCGCTTCCCAGCGGAGAGGGTGACGGTGGTTTTCCTTGCTGCATCCCCTTTGCCGGGTTGCTGCGCTGTGGGAACCACCGCTTGAGGCTTCGTTTGGCTGCTGGCTGGGCTTTCTGCCTTTGGCTCGGAGGGGCTCAGAAGCTGAACATACCTGTGTCCAAAAAATCCCTTATTTTGGCTGCTGATCCCTTATTTTCGAGGCTGATGGTCCCTTATTTTCAAATCTGTAAGTTGACAGCTATGACTTGAAGCAGTGATGGCCACCAACATGCAGGGGGTGGGACAAATTCAGGGAGCGGTGGCCGCTGGCCGTGACGGCGATGCTCTGTCTCCACGGCTGGAGGCAGCAATGCTTCTGGAAACCACAGGAGAGGAGGGTTCCTGTTGTGCTCAGGCCCCGTTTGAGAGTTTCCCACAGGTTGACCACTGTGAGAACAGGTTGCTGGGCCAAATGGGCCGTTGGCCTGATTCAGAAGGCTTTTCTTTCTTTCTTTCTTTCTTTCTTTCTTTCTTTCTTTCTTTCTTTCTTTTAAATAATTTTTATTGAATGGTTTATGTTACAAAAAACATACTACCATACTACCTGTCTGCCATACTAACCACTAAATATAATTAAGAAATAAAAATTACATACATCGCTATTTAGTTTGTTATTTGTTATTTACCATCTTATTTCCTCCCAAAACATTGCATACAAACATATGTGCAGACACCCACACACCCACAGAAAATGATAATAATGAAAGTAAATATTTTCCCCCCTTTATCTTCCAAAATCTTTTCTTCAGCTTGACTTCCTGTCAAGTCCCTTTGCCTATGCTTGTATCTTACATTTTGAATGTAAAAAACCTTTTCTTTTCTTAACACCGTTAATACAGTTGCGACTTGACTTCGAGGAGCAACTCATAGAACGCGGTGTGGTAGCCTTTTTTGAGGTTTTTAAAGCTTTTTGAGGTTTTTGAAGCTTTTCCAAAACTTTCCCGACACCGTGCTTCGCAAGACGACAAAAATCGCAAGACGACAAAACTCGCGGAACAAATTAATTTCGTCTTGCGAGGCACCACTGTACACAAATCAATAAACCTTTCTATATACCGTATTTTTCGCTCTATAACACGCACCAGACCATAACACGCACATAGTTTTTAGAGGAGGAAAACAAGAAAAAAAAATATTCTAAACAAAATAGTGGATATATGATTTTTGTGGTACATGCTGTGGCCACAGACATGTGATCTGACAGTGAGTTTGGAGTAGCCCAATGCAAAAATCCTGAGGATCCATGTGGATCCATGCTTTGTAACCACGGAGGAGGGAAAGAAGGGGAACCATGGATCCTCTGCTCATGACTGCAGAATACAATAAAACGCTTTCGGAAAAGTGAGTTATGGTGGAAAATTTTTCTAATACATTCTGAAAACATAATAAATCCTTAATTGTAGTCCACCTCCTTTTAGTTCCTTCATCACTCGAATGCTAGCACGGAGTCAAAACTATTTGTTATATTTTTGAACACATTTTTTATAAACATCCCATTTTCCCGCTAATTTTTGCTTTGAGTTTCCTCTGAGTTTACTAGTCAGCAAACAGAAGGCTTTTCTCAAGGTTTCGATGGCTTCGGAAGGGGATTAGTCGTGCCGGTGAAGGAGAGATGTACCGGTAAGTGGAGCCTCCCTCACCAGGAGCAATATACCTTTGAATGGCATTTGCCAGACAAAGGGCAGCAGCAGCAGGAGAGGGCTGGTCCAGCCCTGTATGTTAGGGCTGCCATAAATATGGGTTTTCATCGGACTGTCAAAATGGGCGGATTTCCACCAAATTAGCAAAATGGCTGGGAAAACCCAGATATATAGTTACAGTAATAGTTATTGCGTAATAACGTAGTAATAGTTATTGTGTAAACACCTTGCAAACAGATCAGAATTAATGCTGGGTGCGCAAGTAAAGCTATGCACAAGCAGATCAGGATGAAAGCTCAAGAAATTGGATGTCTGAAGGGTACCGGGTGCGAGGGAAGGCTGCTAGTCTAGCCTTTAGCATCGCTGTGGTGAAAATCCTATACATTCCACGTTAGAATTTAGAAAGGGAAGTCAGTTCCACACAGACAAGAAATAATAATGATGATATAATAATAATAATAATAATAATAATAATAATAATAATAATTTATTTGTACCCTGCCCATTTGTACCCTGTCTGGGCGGCTTCCAACAAAGACTAAAAATACATTAAAATGTCACACATTAAAAACTTCCCTGAACAGGGCTGCCTTCAGGTGTCTTCTAAATGTCAGGTAGTTGTTTATCTCTTTGACATCTGATGGGAGGGTGTTCCACAGGGCGGGCGCCACTACCGAGAAGGCCCCTGCCTGGTTCCCTGTAGCTTTGCTTCTCGCAGTGAGGGAACCGCCAGAAGGCCCTCGGCGCTGGACCTCAGTGTCCGGGCAGAATGATGGGGGTGGAGACGCTCCTTCAGGTATACAGGACCGAGGCCATTTAGGGCTTTTAACACCAACACTTTGAATTGTGCTCAGAAACTTAGACATATGGCAACTAGGGCAAGAAAAATGCTTTGAAAATCCAGAAAAAAACTTATTTTTATTTGGGAGATGTCCCCACCCCCAAAACACTGAACAACTTTGCCCAGATTTTTACTTTTGGGAATATGGCAACCCTACCATATGTGGCTTTTCGATAAGCATCTCAGGTTGGTGGGATTAGATAGACCTTTGGTTTTGGGTTCTTCCTCCATTTTTATGTAAGAAAGAGTAAGAATTAGGCACAGGACTGCTCAGATAGCACCTGACAGCCTGTTTTTCCTCAGTGTGCCAGTAATGGGGTTGTTCCACTGGACTAGAAGAACCAGAGCAGCAACTCATCCAGAGATGCGCAAGGCAGCTGCCCCCTAAGAGGAAGGAAAATTTGTGTTTTATCTCAGGTCTCAGCATCAAGACCCCCAAATAAGTATCTACTTAGATCTGCTTTTAATTATTATTACTTAACTGCTTAAGCGCCTTATTGACACTTTTTAAACTGCTCACTTTAGAAGCCAGATTTTTAGATTGCCGACACTCTGTGTTTCACAGCTGGTTTTGCACAGCACAATTATTTATTTAGTTGGGGGGCTAAATAAATGAGATGGTTTTGTATGTTTCGTGGTACTTTATGCATTGTGACCTGCTGTTATTCTCATTGATTATAGTTTAGCGATTCTATATTGTAAATGGTAAGTGTAAACTGTTTAATTATTACTTGCTGATATTTACCTGTAATTTTTCTGTTTACTATTATTTTCTAATGGGTTATTGAACATTGCTTTATTTGCTATAAGTTGTTTATTTTAAAGTTACTGTGACTTTTTTTGTATTGGATCAGATTGCTATTATGTGTGCTTTGCTATTACTTTGCTGTCTGTGTTGCTGTTTCTTCAGCTAGTAAAACCACCTTGTTTATAATAACGTAGAAAGGCGGTTAATAATAATAATAATAATAATAATAATAATAATAATAATATATTTATACCCCGCCCATCTGGCTGGGCTTCCCCAGCTACTCTGGGCGGCTTCCAAAAAAATATTAAAATACTGTAATACATCAAACATTAAAAGCTTCCCTAAACAGGGCTGCCTTCAGATGTCTTCTAAAAGTCTGGTAGTTGTTGCAGGATGCAAAAAAAAAATTCCCCTTCCCTCCCCGAATTACAGGGAATCCGGCGTGAGCAGAGACTCTTTCAGAGACGCGCCGGGTACCCTCCTCCCGCTTCGGGGAGCCTCACCCGCTGAGTTATCGCGGTGCTAGGAAGGCCTCCTCTCGTTCGCCCCTCCCTCGCCTCTCCCCTCGGGCCCGGGCCCGGCTGTCGGCCGCCAGAGGGCGATCGCGCGCGCTCCCCATTTAAAGCTAAAGTGCTTTAATAGGAAAAGTCCTCCCACTTCTTAGCCGCCCTCGGTTGCTTAACCGGGCGCTCCCCTTCCTGTTTCTCCCCACGCGGGTAGAGGATCTCAGGTGAGGAGTTGGGGGGCGGGGCGGCGATCCTTTGTTGCAAAGGAGCCGGTGCACAGCCGGAAAGCGAGCAAAGGGCAGATTTGATCCCTGATTTGGGCAAGAGCCCAGTGTTGCAATGCAATGCAATGCAAACGGGTCTGTTGCAATGCAGGCGGTGCTAAGTTAGGGACTCGCGGGGAGGAGGAGAAGAGGCGAGGAGGCTGGATTTGGACCTTCGCCACTTTGGACTTCTTGCAGGCTCCAGAGTCCACGGGAGGCGGGACCCACGCGAGGCCAGGATGTTGCGCGCCCTCGCCAGCTCCGCGCAGCCCAAGCAAGCGCTCGGTCGCCTCCTGAGGATGAACAGCAGCTGGGGCCAAGGCGCGGGGGACCCTCGCCGACAAGGTGGCCTTGGTGACCGCCTCCACCGAGGGGTAAGCTCCGATGGGGCTCGGCTCCTTTTCTGGAAGGAGTTGCTTTTTTTTTTTTTTGCAGAGGGATCTGGGTGCAGGCGAGGCAGAAGCACTCTGCGCGCTCTCAGTGGCACTCTTGCCCCGGCGCATCTTTCGCTGGCGGTGGAATTGAGGGAGGGGAAGTCTTCACGGCTAATCTCCGACTCGCGTTAAGCCCTCGGGATCGGTTTTGAAGAGGAGACAAAAAGAGGATTCTTGCCGCTGTACTTAAGGGATAAGTGTGTGTGTGTGTGTGTGTGTGTGTTTTTATTGTTGCTGAAGGGGAACCCACCCGAGTTTTAACGGAGATTTTTTTAAAACCCTCCAAAGCATCAGTTTGAAAGTCTTGAAGGTAGTGTTTCCTAAAAGCCGCATCCAGCTCTGCTTCTAAAGATCAGTATGCTTAGCATTTTTGTTCTAATCGTGTGTTTTCTTTTCTTTTTTTAAATACATTTATTAAAGTTTTGAATAAACAATACAGACTTCACAATCAACCAAAGAAAAAACACAACATCACAATCATACAAAAACAGAAAGATACAATAAAAAATACAAACAAGGAAAAAAGAAAAAAGATATTAAAAAAAACATAAAAATCCAATTTTTTACTTATTGTTCTTATAGCCTTCTTTTCTGACTTCCTCACACCCCCCTTTTCTGTGTTCCTTTTTACAAACTCATATTCAGCAGTAATTTACCTTCTTTCAAATCTTATTCTGTGTTATACTTTTCAAGCTATTATGTCTCCAATTTTTCCTTTCCTTTTAAATCCATTTTTACATAATCCTTATAGCTTAATCCCTTTGTGTCATATAGTTTACATTTGACATAATATTATTCAATTTTTCCAACCTTATTTCTTTAAAACATTTTATAACATGTGTTTTCAATGAACAAAGTTTTGCACCTTCCATTAAGAGTCCTTTCCTGAAAAGGTGAGCAGTTGTTTACCCTAAAAGGTGCCTGGATCGTGTCTCTTAAGATCATGACTGCAAACGCACCATACATTTAAAGCGTGTGTGCATGCACACACCAAGAATCCCCGTCGGACCGGCCCAGGCATTAAGCAGGCTGAGACCACTGCCTCAGGTGGCAGAGAAGCAGTGCTGCCACTGGTGCTCATTTTGGGCACAATTGTATCAATTTTGGTCGAGACACACCACCCCTGATCCCTGAAACTACCGGTAGTTTAAGGATGCTGGGAACTGTAGCTCTGTGAGTGGTAAACTACAGTTCCCAGGAATTGGGGGGCGGGGGTTCAGATCTATGGTGCATACACAGCCCATGGGTTGAAGGTTAAAGACCAAGCTGAGATTTGACCCAAGAGCTTTCAGCAATTAACCAGTGATAAACCCTGTTGAATATAATGGAACTTCCTTCTGAGTAAACATTCACAGGATTAGGCTGTTGGCCACTAAATTACAACCAGCTCTCAATGATTAACTAATTAGAGGGAACATTTTTAAACCACTCCGGAAACTGTAGTTTTGTGGGGGGAGTTGGGGTCGCCTAAGCGCTTGGCAAGGGATGCGGGTGGTGCTGTGGGTTAAACCACAGAGCCTAGGACTTGCCGAAGGTCGGCGGTTCGAATCCCCGCGACGGGGTGAGCTCCCATTGCTCGGTCCCTGCTCCTGCCAACCTAGCAGTTCAAAAGCACCTCAAAGTGCAAGTAGATAAATAGGTACCACTCCATCGGGAAGGTAAAGGGCGTTTCCGTGCGCTGCTCTGGTTCGCCAGAAGCGGCTTAGTCATGCTGGCCACATGACCCGGAAGCTGTACACCGGCTCCCTCGGCCAATAAAACGAGATGAGCATTGCAACCCCAGAGTCGGTCACGACTGGACCTAATGGTCAGGGGTCCCTTTACCTTTACCTTTAACATCGCTTGGCACCCTTAACAAACTACAGCTCCCAAGATTCATTGGGAGTTTAACATGGTATCACAGCGCTTTTCAGTGTATGGTGTGAACAGGCCTTAAGATAGAATCATAGTTGGAAGGGACCCCGGCGGTCATCTAGTCCAACCCCTGCATTGCAGGAATCTTGCCCAATGTGGGGTTCAAACCCACGACCGTGAAACGAAGGGTCTCATGCTCTGCCAACTGAGCTGTCTGTAAGATTCAGCTGCCAATCTAGCTGGCTTCTATACATGGAACAGAAGGGCTGAATATCTTGACCTTTGCCTCGGTCACCATCTTGGACTGGCATTGCTTCTCTTCCCTTCCTGTGAATTGCAGACACGCACACACACCATGTTGAACTATAGATTGTAATCTCCTCAGGGCAGGGACCTAGACCGATTCTCCGAGTCTTGTGCACATCAATAGTACAGTGGTACCTTGGTTTGCAACCGTTTTGGATTACAACCACGTCAAACCCTGAAGTGTGTGTCCCTTTTTTTTTTTAATTACAACCCTTTTTATTATTATTACAACCCATTTTTTTTCGGAGGCCCCATTGGCGAAAGCGTGCCTTGTGTTACAACCTGTTTTGGTGTACAACCAGACCTCCGGAACAGATTATGGTTGTAAACCAAGGTATCACTGTACTATATAAACAGCAGTAATAAATATATCCAGCTTTGTGCTGAAAACCAGTGTAGGCTTAGGTTCCCAGCTCCTTTTCTGGGGAGACAGTCCCCCCCCCCCCGGTCTCGTTTATTTCCTCAATACAGTGGTACCTCGGGTTACATACGCTTCAGGTTACACACTCGGCTAACACAGAAATAGTGCTTCAGGTTAAGAACTTTGTTTCAGGATGAGAACAGAAATTGCGCGGCAGCAGTGGGAGGCCCCATTAGCTAAAGTGGTGCTTCAGGTTAAGAACAGTTTCAGGTTAAGAACAGACCTCCGGAACGAATTAAGTACTTAACCCGAGGTACCACTGTAAACTTATGCATTCTTGACAGAATTGGCTTAGCAATTGCCCGCCGCCTGGCCCAAGATGGCGCCCACGTGGTTGTGAGCAGCCGCAAGCAAGCCAACGTCGACCGGGCCGTCGCTGAGCTCCAGACGGAGAACCTGAGCGTCTCGGGGTTGGTGTGCCATGTGGGGAAAGCCGAAGACAGACAGCGCCTTATCAACGCGGTGAGAGCCAAGGCTGTCTTGAGGGGGGGGGCATATTTAAAGCACTGTATGATTTCGCCCCAAGGAATCCTGGGAACTGTAGTTCGGAGTGCTGAGCATTTCCCCCCTCAATTAGCTACCCTGGTTTAGCAATTGTTTCTCTGGGAATTGTAGTTCTGTGAGGGGAATTGGGGTCTCTAAGCAATTCGCAGCACCTTTCATAAACTTCAGTTCCCAGGATTCTCTGGGGGAAGCCATGACTGTAGTATCAGAGTGATTTCAAATTATGGCATGGATGCGGCCTGTTTTCTTGTTTATGGTGGCCCGCCTCAGAATGAGAATGGTGGGTTTTGAACTGCCCTTCCTTGAAAGAGAGCTAGCCTACCACCCGTCTTCTCCTGCAACGAGCTGCCCCAAGACTCTTGGGTGCCCTCCAGACGGGTGACGGCAAAGCTAACGGCTGCAAGCAGAGTAGGCAGCCTAGAAAACTCCCAGAATCCTCCAGGCAGCCATTTTGTAGGTTTCACACAGAGGCAGCCTGGCCATGTTGGCCCAGAGAAGCCGAGGCTTGCGCAGGAGAACGTTCTGGAAGATTGCACCTTTATTAGTCAAAAGCTGTGTGGATTTTCCCACCCACCTCGGGCACCAAAATCTCTGGGGCTGAGCCTGCCCTACACACTCCCTATTCTGTTCCTCTTCTCCCCTGTTCCCCAACCAAAGAGGGTCAAGTTTATTTTAAGTTAAATGTATTACGGTATTTTAATATTTTGTTGGAAGCCGTCCAGAGTGGCTGGGGAAGCCCAGCCAGATGGGCGGGGTATAAATAATAAATTATTATTATTATTAATTATTATTATTTTATGCTATCCTGAAATTCTCCTCTGCTCTGATTTCAAGAGAGCAAATGGCCTTTCTCTCTGCGGCAGGTGGAGCGCCTACTTCGATCCCATACAACTCTCAGGAGGCGTTGGACTATACAAGTCTCCCTTTAAAGGGGACTTGCTGGCTCTCGTCTCCCAATTATGGGAAACAGGAGACTTATAGATTCCCAGGAAGGGTGTACCCCTGGTTTGGCTGGCACTGATAAAAGACTCTTTGGTTTCGGAATCAGGGCGAGGTGGCTGTGCCCTCTGACAGCGTACGCATTGTACATTTAATAAAACACATTTGAAGCATGGGGCTTCTCCCAAAGAATCCCGGGAACTATAGTTTGTTGAGGGCGCTGGGAATTCTAGCGGTCTGGAGGTGGTAAACTACAGCTTCCAGGATTTCCCCCCCCCCACATGCTTTTGTGCACATGCCTTTTCCAACAGCTCCTATCCAAAGATATCTGTCGCTAGACCTGTTTTACGGCTTCTGCTTGCTCCCAGGCAAGGAGAAATTTCATTGCGTTACAAACAGGGCAGCTCTGTGTCAAATTTGCATCCCGTAGGATTGAAATGTTTGTCGAGGGGTGGGGTGCTGCGAAGCGGGATGTTGCGTGTATTATTAACATTGGTTTATTTACTGTATTCAGCTTATAGCCCACCTTTCCTTCTGAAGGAAACATATTCATAATAAAACAATTTTTTCAAAAATGAAACTGAAAACACTTAAAAACATCCTAAAAACTGCCACCTTGAGGTCTCTTTCAGCCAACATCTGGTTGACCACTGTGAATACTGGGTGCATGGCAGGGGTTGGGCTGGATGACCTTTGGGGGTCCCAACTCTATAATTCTATGGTTCTGTGACTAGAAGGCGCGCCTTCCCTTTGGCCTGAGCCCGGCGGCCAGGCTCTCCTGATGTTCTGTGAAGGGCTTGGTTTTTAAACAGAGATTCCCTGTTTGGGGAAGCTTTTGATGTTTAATAGGTTATTGTATTTTAATATTCCATTGGAAGCCGCCCAGAGTGGCTGGAGAAACCCAGCCACATGGGTGGGGTATTATTAATTAATAATAATAATAATAATAATAATAATAATAATAATTGTATTCGTAGTGTGTTCGCATTGCTCATTCTGTGCCTTGTGCTGCAGGCCCTGGAGCGCCACGGAGGAATCGACATACTGGTCTCCAACGCGGCAGTGAATCCCTTTTTTGGCTCCACTCTGGATGCCACAGAAGAAGTCTGGGACAAGGTAAGGGGTTCAGGGCGGGCGGAGGGAAAGGACTGAGGTGCTGAGGATGAGCCCCTCGGGGCAGGAAAGGGGCACGAGCTCAGCCAGTGGGGTGAAGCGGCCCAGTTGGCATAGAGCAGAGGCTTCTGGGAAACACAGTGTTGCTCAAACCAAGGCTGGGATGCAGGAAGCTGCCTCATGTCGGGTCCCAGCCATTCACACTCGCTCTCAGCTTAAGCCTACTTTGCAGGGCTGCTGTGAGGGTGAAATGGGGAGGAGAGCTATGTGCCTTGAGTTCCGTGGAGGGGAAGGCTGTGTGTAATAATAATAATAATAATAATAATAATAATAATAATAAAGGTAAAGGGACCCCTGACCATTAGGTCCTGTCGCAGACGACTCTGGGGTTGCGGCGCTCATCTTGCTTTATTGGCCGAGGGAGCTGGCATACAGCTTCCGGGTCATGTGGCCAGCATGACTAAGCCGCTTCTGGCGAACCAGAGCAGCGCACGGAAATGCCGTTTACCTTCCCGCCGGAGCGGTACCTATTTATCTACTTGCACTTTGACGTGCTTTCAAACTGCTAGGTTGGCAGGAACAGGGACCAAGCAACGGGAGCTCAACCCGTCGCGGGGATTCGAACCGCCGACCTTCTGATCGGCAAGTCCTAGGCTCTGTGGTTTAACCCACAGCGCCACCCGCATCCAATAAATAAATAAATAAATCCTGGCACTCCATTGCCCTGCGGGGGACTGGATGGCCAGTTCATCCCTCCTGATCAGGGAGAGAAGGCCTCTCTCAGCTCCTTGTTTCAGAGAGCAGGGTGGGTGGGTGTATGAAGTATGGTTGTGAATTTTTTCTTGATTTTATTGCCTTTAGCTTCCTGTAAACCCGCTTTGAGGGTTTTGTTGTTGTTGTTTTTACAGCCAAGCGATATATAAATTATACGAAAACAATGAAGGGGGAAAGTGATTAGGCAGTGGGTGGGAGAGGTTTGCAAGCGACCGGTTTTTGAAAAGCCTTTTCCTCCTCTCTTTTATCTTCGATTAGATTTTTGACATCAACGTGAAGGCTGCAGCCCTGCTGATCAAACTGGTCGTACCTCACATGGAGAAAAGGGGGTGAGTCCCGGATTATTGTGCTTGCGTGTTGCGGAAGAGGCAACTTGGCGGCTGGGCAAGGGGTGTTCTGTGGCAACGATAAAATTCTTGTCTATATTCTGGTCCCCGATCAAGCAGATAACTATGAAGATCTCCTTGCAAGTCCACCTGTTCTGTGGTGAGCTTGTCACGCTCCGTGTCGCACTTCATGTCTGCTTCAAGTTTCTGGTCCTCATTGTGAAACTTCCCACTTCTGTAGCCCTTCCTGTGTCCACCCACCTTCTGTTGATGGTGAAAGGCCTCCGTTCTGTTGACCTGTGGGATGTCACAGTCCGGTCTACAGGCGATCCAAGTCCCGGCTGAGGACATCAAGACCGGGGGCAACATGGTGGGGTGGGAGCAGGAACGAGAGTCCAGAAGCCAGGGGTCCGAGGGTCAGGAAGCAAGGAGCCAAGGTCCGAGGATCAGGAAGCCAAATGCAGCAAGGCAGGAAACAAGTCGCTGTGGCAAAGAGCCGAAAGGAAATGCTGACCTTATATCCCTTCCCAGCTCTTGCCACCAGGTGCAGTGTGTTACCAAGCGGCCTCACCTGTGCGGCCGCACCTTGCCTCTCCAGAACAAACTTAGGAAGGCCCCAGTCCTGTGAAGCCCTACTGGTCACAGGGCCTGGCTCCTGCACGCACTCCTGACATGGGACTTGCGGAGAAGGTTGCCTTTCATAAAGGCGGGCCAGAAGCCATTCAGTGGCTTGGCCACTGATATTTGGGGGGAACTATGGGGCACATCTGAGGAATTTTGGGGGGGAGGGAGTCGGTAGCCCTTTATCTGATGCGGAGTTGAGGCCATGTTGCTAGACCTCATGGCCAACACCCTTGTTGGAGACTTTTTCAGTCCCTCTGTGGGTTCAGGTTCAACCATTTTCTCAGGTGATGTTGTTGTTTAGTCATTTAGTCGTGTCCGACTCTTCGTAACCCCATGGACCAGAGCACGCCAGGCACTCCTGTCCTCCACTGCCTCCCGCAGTTTGGTCAAACTCATGCTGGTAGCTTCGAGAACACTGTCCCACCATCTCGTCCTCTGTCGTCCCCTTCTCCTTGTGCCCTCCATCTTTCCCAACATCAGGGTCTTTTCCAGGGAGTATTCTCTTCTCATGAGGTGGCCAAAGTATTGGAGTCTCAGCTTCAGGATCTGTCCTTCCAGTGAGCACTCAGGGCTGATTTCCTTAAGAATGGATAGGTTTGATTTCTCAGGTGATAATGGACCCCAAAGCAGTCAGTGAGGTACATGGCGGAGCGGAGATTTGAACCCAAGACTCACTGATCCATGGCCAACACTTGAACCACAAGTAACTTTTCTGAGGTGAACTCCACCCCTCTTCCTCGTCCTGACACCTTCACCCTTCCTCAGGGGTCACTTCTCCAGCAGAATTTTCCTTTCAGATGTCCACCTCACCTTACGTGGTCCCCATCATGACTCCTCTCAGCCTCCATCCTCATTCGCTCTTGTTAACCTGCTTTTTTCTTACAGAGGCGGCTCCATTGTTATCGTCTCCTCCATCGCTGCTTATTCCCCGTTTCCGGTGAGTCAACTGTTTTCCATTCCTCTGCCAATGTTGTCCTTGTCCTTATGGGTCTAGACCTTCCCCATCCCTTTCTGTAGTAAGAACATTAGAAGATCTCAGCTTTTGGATCATGCCAGTGGCCCATCTACTCCGGCGTCCTATTCTCACAGTGACCAACCAGATGCCCCAATAGGAAATAGGTCACAATAGATTTTAACCTCTGGGGGGAACTCTGGAAAAGTTACTTGAAGTTTACAGCATCTTGTTATTTGAAGGAGAACTACCTGAAAATTATTTACAGATGGTGTTGAACTCCGAGTAGGCTTGCTAAGATGTACAGTGGTACCTCGGGTTACATACGCTTCAGGTCACATACGCTTCAGGTTACAGACTCCGCTAACCCAGAAATAGTGCTTCAGGTTAAGAACTTTGCTTCAGGATGAGAACAGAAATCGTGCTCCGGCAGCAGCACGGCAGCAGCGGGAGGCCCCATTAGCTAAAGTGGTGCTTCAGGTTAAGAACAGTTTCAGGTTAAGAACTGACCTCCGAAATGAATTAAGTACTTAACCCAAGGTACCACTGTATAAGACTGAATCAGATAAGTGCTGGAGATGCAAAGAGGTTGAGGGAACGTTTTTTCATATGTGGTGGACTTGTAAAAGGGTAAAAGAGTACAGTGGTGCCCCGCAAGACGAATGCCTCGCAAGACGAAAAACTCGCTAGACGAAAGGGTTTTCCGTTTTTTGAGTCGTTCCGCAAGACGAATTTCCCTATGGGCTTGCTTCCTTTGTTGTTCCGTTTTCTTAAAGCCGCTAAGCCGTTAATAGCCGCTAAGCCGCTAATAGCCGTGCTTCGCAAGACGAAAAAACCGCAAGACGAAGAGACTCGCGGAACGGATTAATTTCGTCTTGCGAGGCACCACTGTACTTGGAAATGATCCATAACAAATTGAAAACAATGTTTAAAAGTACTTTCCTCCCCAAAACCAGACAGAGTCCTTTCTGTTGGGGATAATTCAGACTAAAATTCCTGGGCTAACAAAACTACTGTGGCCCGTGCTTTGTTAGCCCAAAAATGTAAAATGAGCGAGGTCCCAAATAAAGAAGAATGGCAACTTAAGTTGACAGAATATCCACAGCTTGCATACGTAACATATAGAATAAGAGAACAAGGAGAACATACGTTTAGAGAAGATTGGAAAAAGTTTATTGAATATACGGGAAATAACTGTGTACAGCTGAAAACACCGGCAGCATTAAGATAAATTCAACAGTGTAAGTTAGTTATGATGGTTGTAATAATGGAAAACTGAATGGTATAGTTTCTGTAAAATATGCAGGGATTTATGATATGTAAAATGAACCATGGAAAGAGAGGAAGGGAAGTCATTGGTATCTTAAGATTGTATAAATGAATACTTTAAATTGTAAGGCAGAAAATTTAATAAAAATTATATATTATAAAATGCAAGCAGGACATCAGTTCACCAACGCCATCCACTCTTGCCATTCCCTGCAACTGGTTCCAACTCAGGAACGGCTCTGCCAAGCTGGAACTATTGCTAGCCTTCTCCTCCCTGAATTTTGAAAGCCATCCACATTGATGGCCTACATCCCTTCCCCAAGGAAGAGGACAGAAGTTGCTGTGCAACAACATCTGGGTGCCCATGGTTGAAGAATGCCGCCTTAGGGGGACGGACTTGTCAGCCTCCCGAAATCTCTTCCTCCTCTTAGGGCTTGGGCCCCTACAACGTCAGCAAGACAGCGCTCCTGGGCCTCACACACACCCTGGCTTCCGAACTCGGCCCCAGAAACATCCGTATCAACACACTGGCCCCCGGCCTGATCCGCACCAAGTTCAGCTCAGCTGTGAGTATCGGGGAAGCTGTGGACATAGGTGCCTCCTGTGTTTATTTACCGTATTTTTTGCTCTATAAGACTCACTTTTTCCCTCCTAAAAAGTAAGGGGAAATGTGTGTGCGTCCTATGGAGCGAATGCAGGCTGCGCAGCTACCCCAGAAGCCAGAACAGCAAGAGGGATTGCTGCTTTCACTGCGCAACGATCCCTCTTGCTCTTCTGGCTTCTGAGATTCAAAATATTTTTTCCCCCTCTTCCAAAAACTAGGTGCGTCTTGTGGTCTGGTGCGTCTTATAGAGCGAAAAATATGGTATTTATCCCTTGCCTTTCTTCCGCCATCACGGAACCCATGCTGCAGTGTGCGTGCGTGCTTCTCGCGAGAGTTCCTGCCCACCCTCTGCAATCTTTCACATGTCCCACCTTTACCTGAGGTACCCCTGGCTGGGGCATGGGGAGCGGGGAGAGAGAGAGAGCCATCTCGTGTGTCAGTGACCAGCTTTTGGAACTCCCTGCCTGGAAAGATTATGTTTATAGCCACATTTATTACCAGCTGTTCATCAACCGTTCCCAGGCTGGGTTGCAACAGTTAAAAATGTAAAGCAGTCAGAACAGATCACAATCGCAGGAATAGGGTGGGTTCTGAAAACGGATCGTTTCAAGTGTCAAAGGCCGAGGTGAAGAGGTCTGTTCCACTTCATTCCACCTGACAAGATATTCCTGTTTCTTGGGGTTTTTAATGGGATTCTTTATCTGCCCCTTCTGTCTGTTTTAATTTTCTGGTTTTTTATTTATTTTATTCTATAATGTATTATTTTTTAAAGCGTTTCACTTGCACCCTACCCTCTGACGGCATAGATTTCAACAGGAGCGAGGTGTAACTAACTGCAGCTCTGATCTTATACACACTTAAAACTGGGAGCGAGCCTCGTTGAATTCGGGCTGGACTTGGACTCCCACGAAGACAGAAATGTTTAGAGCAGTGCTGTCTGTCTGAATCCAACCCAAAGTCAACAGAAGTTGAAATCTGTCGTAATTGGGCTGAGTTTTTATTTTTTTATTTTTTTATGTCTTCACCTACAGGCACAAATTCAGGGTATTGGTTTTATCATAGAGGCAAACTGACTGGGCATCTTCTCTTTCTAGCTCTGGCAGGACAAAACCACAGGGGACAAATTGATGGAAACCATGAGGATACGGAGGTAACGTTCACTACACAAACAAACACCCACCGGTCAGCAGGTCTGTGGGCCAGCTATGGGCCACAAACGCAATCTGAGGGGACTGTACCACATCGCTTGAATTGGCCATCGGGCCCTGAGGCCCCTTTAAAAGAAGCCCCTCGCCCACCCACTAATGTTGGGCACAAGCCCATCCAAGCCGTTGTCTCTGGAGCCTGCCTTCTAACCACAGGGGTGGTGAACCATTTTTGGCCCCACCCACTTGACATATGCAACATCATTTGCGGGCAGGTTAAAAGGGGGGGGCTGGGCCAGGTGTGATTGACAGGCAGGTAGCTGCGCCCCCTTCTCAGATCTGACTCTCCAGTGGGGCAGGATGCAGAGGGGCTGGGCTGCTGCGGAGATACCATTCCCCACTCTTGATCTAGGAGTTCTGCAGGTGGCGCTGTGGTCTAAACCACTGAGCCTCTTGGGCTTGCCGATCAGAAGTTTGGCGGTTCGAATCCCCATGACGGGGTGAACTCCCATTGCTCTGTCCCAGCTCCTGCCAACCTGGCAGTTCGAAAGCACACCAGTGCAAGTAGATAAATAGGCAAGAAAATAAATGGCATTTTCATGTGCTCTGGTTTCTGTCACGGTGTCCCGTTGCACCAGAAGCGGTTTAGTCCTGCTGGGCATATGACCTGAAAAGCTGTCTGTGGACAAATGCCAGCTGCCTCGGCCTGAAAGCGAGATGGGCGCTGCAACCCTATAGTTGCCTTTGACTGGACTTAACCGTCCAAGGGTCCTTTACCTTTACCTTCTACCTTTTTTCTAGTGGAATGCATCTGAGGAATGGGGCTTAGTTGTGTCGGAGGGGGTCTGATCTGTATGCAAAAAGACTCAGTTCTGGTCTCTGGTGTCTCTCTAGGTTTATTTATTTATTGGGTTTATATGCCACCCTTCATCAAAAGATCTTGGGGAGGTTCAGATGATTTAAAAATAAAACCCAAGATAAAAGCACTAATAAATAATCAAAAGCAACAAAACCCCACCTCCCACAAACTCATTTAAAAGCCTGTAGAATATTAAACAGCCAAAGGCATGGTTGAAAAGGAATGGGGGGGGGTTTGCCTGGTGCCTAAAGGTGTATAATGAAGGCAACAGGCGAATCTCCCTGGGGAGAGCATCCCACAAGCGGGGAGCCACCACAGAGAAGGCCCGTTCTTGTACAGTGGTACCTCGGGTTACATACGCTTCAGGTTACATACGCTTCAGGTTACAGACTCCGCTAACCCAGAAATAGTGCTTCAGGTTAAGAACTTTGCTTCAGGATAAGAACAGAAATCGCCCTCCGGCGGTGCAGTGGCAGCAGGAGGCCCCATTAGCTAAAGTGGTGCTTCAGGTTAAGAACAGTTTCAGGTTAAGAACGGACCTCCGAAACGAATTAAGTACTTAACCCGAGGTACCACTGTATTGCTGCCCTCTAGACCTCTCACGGAGGAGCCACATGAAGAAGGGCCTCGGAAGATGAACACAAGAGTCTGGGTCAGTTTATATGGGGAGAGGCGATCCTTGAGGTATTGCGGTCCTGAGCCGTTCGGCGTCCGTTAGTGGCAGAGTTGGGGAACCGTTCTCAAACCGAGAGCCACATTCTTTTGTGGAGAGCTTTCCGGGGCTTATCGCGGGTGGGGCCCCAGCTGGCGCACTCGGGTGCACATAGCACACCGCTGCATGCAGAATGTGCTGTACATCCAAAACCACTTCATCCTGAGTCAGACCTATAGGGGTCGACCTAGTTCAGTATTGTCAACTCTGGCTGGCAGCTGCTCTCCTGTATTTCAGTCCAGGCACATTCATTGCCAGCCCTGTCTGGAGGTTCGGTATGAAAGCGAGTGACAAAATGTTAATACATTGTGAGATCTTTATTATTATTATTATTTAACCAGCTTACGATAAGCCTAAAAACCTTGATTTGTGTTCAGAGCGGGGGGGTGTGTGCTCTGCTGCCAAACTACAGCCCCTCCCCAGACGCACGGATTCACTCGCTTCCTGGCACCACCCCAAACCCACAGCACTAAAGACTGGGGAAAAGGCTATAAATGCCTGGAAGTGGGTGGCGGGGATGATTTTCACGCAGAGCACAGTTTGGCAAAGGAGGTTTAACCCTTCCCTCCTTTCCCCAGCTGCACTCTCTGCGAGTATCACAGAAACCCGCCTGCTGCAAACTCGGAGCCATTAGGTTTTTTGGGGGGAAAGTCTTCTACAAAAACCAGTTTTTTGCAAGCCTAATTGCAACGTGGAACAGGGGGGCCGGGCGGTTACTGGTGTGTGGGGGGGTGTCACAGTGCATGGGGTGTGGAGGTTTAACCCTTTCCTCCACAGCAATGAACTCCACCCTACGTAAAGGTAAAGGGACCCCTGACCATTAGGTCCAGTCGTGGCCGACTCTGGGGTTGCGGCGCTCGTTTTGCTTTATTGGCCGAGGGAGCCGGCGTACAGCTTCCGGGTCATGTGGCCAGCATGACTAAGCCGCTTCTGGCGAACCAGAGCAGCGCACGGAAACGCCGTTTACCTTCCCGCTGGAGTGGTACCTATTTATCTACTTGCACTTTGATGTGCTTTCGAACTGCTAGGTTGGCAGGAGCAGGGACCGAGCAATGGGAGCTCACCCGTCGCGGGGATTCAAACCGCCGACCTTCTGATCGGCAAGTCCTAGGCTCTGTGGTTTAACCCGCAGCGCCACCCGCGGCACTCCACCCTACCCACCCACAAAAAGAACCCCAACACGCACACACTGCAATTATGCTTGAAGAGAGCCCCTGTTTTGGAGCCCTCTTGCCTGCTCCCGCCTCCCAACCCTTGGAGAGCTGCTGCCGCCTAGAGTAGACAACACTGAGCAAGATGGATGTGGAATAAGGCCCCGCAGTGTCCCACCGGGTGGCTTAAGCAGCTCTAGCTAGGCCTGAGTCCTGGCGCAACCTGCAGGCCATTTATTTATTAAATATCTATACCACCTGTGATCTGAGGATCAAAGGGCAGTTTACAATATAAAAACATAAAAAGTACATGACGTAACAAGCAGCAGTTTTTTTAAGAAAACAAAAACCCTGCAAGGTTTGAAAGGCCATAGATTGGCTACTTAAACAAAGATCTGGGAGAAAAGCCAGGGTATGTAAGGAAGGTGCCAGGCAGGCCTTCCTGGGGAGAGCATCCCACAAGCAGGGAGCCACCGCAGAAAAATCCCGTTCTCATGTTGCTTCCCTCCAGACCTCTCACAGAGGAGGCACGCAAAGAAAGAGCCTCAGAGGATAATTTCAGGGTCATATGGGGAGAGGTGCCCCTTCCTCGTATGGGCTCTTGGTGCTGGCAACTGTGGTGTGAGAGGCAGGAGTTGAGGGCCAGGGAATGGGGTTGCAGGCCAAGAGCCAGGAGTTTGACCCTATAGGTGGTGCTGTCGCCCAGGCAAATTCATCTGGGAGCTGACAGCCACCCGGCGGACTCTAGAATGGGCAGACAGATTTGAGGCTTGTCGAAGAAGAACAGGAGGAGATCTCTGTAGCTGGATCAGGCCAATGGCCCACCTCGCCCCTGATCTCACAGTGGCCATCCTGATGCCCCTAGGGGAAACTTGCAAGCAGGACGTGAGTGCTGCGACAGTCTCCCCACTTGCAATTTTCAGCGATGGGCGTTATTGTAGAAGAGTTTGGATTTGATATCCTGCTTTATCACTACCCTAAGGAGTCCCAAGTGGGACACGGGTGGCGCTGTGGGTTAAACCACAGAGCCTAGGACTTTCCGATCAGAAGGTCGGCAGTTCGAATCCCCGCGACGGGGTGAGCTCCTATTGCTCAGTCCCTGCTCCTGCCAACCTAGCAGTTTGAAAGCATGTCAAGTGCAAGTAGATAAATAGGTACCGCTCTGGCGGGAAGGTAAACGGCGTTTCCGTGCGCTGCTCTGGTTCGCCAGAAGCGGCTTAGTCATGCTGGCCACATGACCTGGAAGCTGTACGCCGGCTCCCTCGGCCAATAAAGCGAGATGAGCGCTGCAACCCCAGAGTCGGCCACGACTGGACCTAATGGTCAGGGGTCCCTTTACCCTTTTTAAGGAATCTCAAAGCGGCTAGCATTCTACTTTCCCTTCCTCCTTCACAACAGACTGAGGGGTGAGTGAGGCTGAGAGACTTCAAAGAAGTGTGACTAGCCCAAGGTCACCCAGCAGCTTCATGGGGAGGAGCGGAGAATCGAACCCGGTTCACCAGATTACCAGTCTACCGCTCTTAACCACTACACCACACTGTCTCTTTTTGCCTCCAAACGTGTGGTGGAGCATAGCCGTTCCAGTTGGTAGCCATTGATCGCCTTATTCTCCCCATGAATTTGTCTCATTGTTGGCATCCATCTGTCTCGAAAGACAATGGAGTGTGCCTCCGTGGGCAGAGTCGAACCACTGGAGAATCGCAACACCCGCTGTGGCTCCAGAGACTTGTAACTGCTGCCTCCTGAATTGTTTTTGCTGCGCTAGCAGCAACCAAAATGACCTCTCTGGGGCACAGGCTTGGGTGGTGTGTCAGGGGGTCCTGGGCTGCCCAGACAACAAGACCCCCCCCCCTCAGCCTGGCTGATGTGGTCCAGAGGAAAGCAGAGCAATAAGTTTGGCAGCAGCCTGGTTGCAGGAGTTGCCGGAAGGAGGTGTACAAGGCGCCATCCAACCCCCTTAGGAACTGCAATCCAGATTTGTGTAGGGTTTACTCCTTAGCCTTTTCTTCTCCTGAAGATATCCCACAGGGCCGCGGGTAATGAATTTTGTCTAATCCTCTTTATTAGCTATTCAAATGGGTGGCCGTCGCCACCTCTTGCGGGCAGGGGGCAAAATTTCAAAGTTTAACTGTTCATTGTGAGAAAAAGTAATTCCTTTTGCCTGGCTGTGAAGCTAGCAATACTCAGCTATGTTGGATGGTCGCCAATTCTAGTATTATGAGTGGGGGGGGGAAAACATTTCTCTATCCGTTTTTTTCAAACCATGCATAATTTTTATACACGTCTATCATCTCTCCTCCCCACCACCCTGACACACCTTTAAACAAACTAAAAAGGCCCAAATGTGGCCTCAGTTTTCCCCCTTGACTTGAACCCAGGTGCGAAAGACATAACATTTTGAATTAAAGATCACGGCACCCTTAAAAACATCCTCAGCTTCGAGGTAACCAAGACTGAACAGTTCTTTCTTCCAACAAAGTTCTCTCTGCTGCTTAGTGTCTAACTAGTTCCTGGGAGACCAGGGTTCAAATAATTAAACCCACTGAGTGATCTTAGGCCAGTTATTCCCTCTCAGTCTAACCCACCTCACAGGGTTGTTAAAATGGGGAGGGGGAGAAGAACTTTGAGCTTCTTGGAGGTAGGATGCAAATGTAACAAATAAATTAATTGGGAACCCCATGGGCCGGGATTACAAACTTCATTCCACTCACAACTGAAACGTCTCCTCAGGCCTTGAGGATTTAGAATAACCTGACTGTGCGCGTGGAGTACTTAGCAATCTTACTATGCTTTCATTTTTAAAATTTTATTTCTGTGTTCTGCTTGGCCCACTGCGCATGTGCACATGCGTGCTTCCTGCCCCCCCCCACATGCGCCCCAGCACATTTGCGCATTGGTTTAAACAGTGCACGAAAAGCAAGCATCGTTATTGCATCAGGGTTCTCAGGCGCTTTAGTTGCCTAATTAAAAAAAAAAAGAGGGGAGAGAGAAAAGAAGCAAACTGACAACTGCAGAAAATTGCACATGTGGCAATTGTGGAATTGCTTCTGGAAATTCTCCAGGTTACGCAGGAAGGCAGGCAGAGCAGAGCAGTGGTGGTGATGCAGAAACTTACAGAATGATAATGAAATGGAACGAGGGACATCCGAGCATCCCAAGACTTGAGAGTGATCTGTCATCTCCAGCCTCGGTCGTTCTGTGTTGAACAGCAAAGAAATCCAGGCCTGGATTAGGGGTTGGTTACCCACAGGCCTTGTTGGCACCACCTTCTTCCTCTTACCTAGATTCACCTTTCCTCCTCCTGCCTCCAATTCCTTGGCCTCATCTCCTTTCCCCACCGGGCTCTGCCCATAGCTGTCAAGCGTCCCTTATTTGGCAGGGACAGTCCCTTATCCCAGCACCATGTCCTGCTGCTGTCCCTTATTGATGATGTCCCTTAAATAAGCTACTGAAGGTAATGGGGCCCTTTCTATGTCCAGCTGTCCTTTGTCAACAAATTGTTGCGGTTTTTTTGTGATGAATATATGCTATATGGTAATTTATGGACCTAATAGATATCTAAAGCCATTTGCACGCAACAAAATATGTATTTTATCAAAGTAATTGTTGATCCCTTATTTTGGCTGCTGATCCCTTATTTTCAAATCTGTAAGTTGACAGCTGTGGCTCTGCCCCCTCCTTTTCCCCGGCCCTGCCCTTGGACAACGGCTATATTCTGCCTCCACTGTCAAGAGGCCACAGAAAACCACTGCAGGCGTCCTAAAAGGCATCAGGTTGGGCACTGTGAGAACAGAATGCAGGACTAGATGGGCCCTTGGCCTGATCCTGCATGCTCATTTCATGTCCCTCCAACTAAGCCCCATCCTTTCTTTGCCTTGCTTCCACCAGGAATGCCCGCTAACCGGACTGTTTCCCTTTCCTCCCTCTCTTCCTCAGGATGGGAGAGCCGACGGACTGCTCTGGCATAGTCTCCTTCCTCTGTTCCCCGGACGCCGACTACATCACAGGGGAGACCGTGGTGGTGGCTGGGGGGGCCCCATCCCGTCTCTGATGTGATGGCGGGGGGGTCCGGCCTGCCTTCCTACTCAGCCATGGGAACGACCAGATGGATGCTTTTGCATTGCCCACTATGCACCCCAGGAGTAAAGATGTGGGGATGTTGACTGAGGGGGGAGGGGGTGCTTGGCTACTGGAAGTGGGGGGCACAGTTGCTCCCCCAGAGGGGAGATGACAGGGCGAGACACAGGCGTCCCTCCCAGTAAATGGGAAGATGGCAAGGGGGAAATTGATCTCTGGGTCTCATTTGAGATTGTATGTGTTTTTTAAAAATACCGTATTTTTTGCTCTATAAGACTCACTTTTCCCCTCCTAAAAAGTAAGGGGAAATGTGTGTGCGTCTTATGGAGCGAATCCAGGCTGCACAGCTATCACAGAAGCCAGAACAGCAAGAGGGATTGCTGCTTTCACTGCGCAGCGATCCCTCTTTCTGTTCTGGCTTCTGAAATTCAGAATATTTTTTTTCTCGTTTTCCTCCTCCAAAAACCAGGTGCGTCTTGTGGTCTGGTGCGTCTTATAGAGCGAAAAATATGGTATGATGGTGGTAATTACGATTGGTTTATTACCCACCCTTCACCCTAAGGTCCCAGGGTGGTTCACAATGATTTAAATGAATTAAAACAAATTAAAGGGAGTTATAGGGACACAGTCCATCCCTGGTCCAGGTTTGTTGGAAGAAGTTTTGGTATCATCTAGATGTTTCTCAAACTTGGGTCTCCAGGTGCTTTGGGCTACAGTTCCCACCATCCCTGACCATTGTTCCTTCTAACTGGGGATGATGGGAGTTGTAGTCCAAAAACAGCTGGAGACCCACTAATCTCTATGAAGTTCATCAGGTAGCACAGTTCCCATTGGGATGGGGAATGACCCAAAGCAGTCTTTTCCAACCTGGGCTCTCCAGATGTTTTTGGACTACAACTCCCATCAGCCTCTGCTGACCGGGGCTGATGGGAGGTGTAGTCCAAAAGCATATGGAGGAGCCCAGGTTGGCAAAACCGGGCCTTACAGCCTACAAATGCTTCCCTGTGTAACGGGGGGTCCTTCTGGAAGAACAAAAATCTCGAGAACTGGGAGAGGTGTCTGTGTGCGTGTATTATGGATTTTAGGGGTCACTTTTGCAGAAAAGTACTGGGGCGCAGGAAGTCTTTTGCGAGGGGAGGGTCAGGTCTGTGGCGATTTCCCGCCTGCTCGTTTCCCAGTGTGCCTTATTTTTATGCCGACTTTCACAATAAAGGTGTGTCTCTGACTGAATCCTTTTGTGGGCGCCTCTGTTTGTGCGGGGGAACCCCAGCCCCCCAAGGAAGGGGTTCTCAGCAAGGGTGGAGCCTGACTGAAGCACAGCCTCTCCCGCCCCCCCAAAACTATACGCTGCGAAGCCGCCCCTCACGTCGATCCCTCCTGAGGTGGGGGGGGCAGGCAATGGAAACGATTTCTTGGTGCGAGGACTCCCCCTTTTAACAACACAGGACACCCCTCTGCACTTCCACCCCCACATCCCTCCATCCCATTTTTTCGGGGGGGGAGGGGGGAGACTTACGCCCACGTTTTCTTGGGAGGCTTCCCCCTCACCATCTGGATCCTTTTCCTCCCCACCCCCCTCGCCATTTCTTCCTCTTACCACCCCCGCTGATCATTTCCCATCTGACAGTTCATCTCCCTTCTTGGGGGGGAGAGAATTTCACATGTGCTCCTTTTAACATTGCCTCCTGTAGCTTCCCCCTCCCTCACCCCACCAGATATATAAATATATATACTACTACTATTCCTCCATTTTGGGGGGAGGGGGGTTATATGGTCCACAGCCTGCCCTTCCCTCCCCCCCCCGCCAATGTCTGGGTGAGGGTTCACCCGCCGCAAGCTCCCTTGCCTTGCATTTGTTCATCCTCTGACATTTCCCTGGCACCTGAGGTCCTCTCTGCCTTCTGCCATCTCCATTATCCTGGTTCCTTCTCCCTTCCTTCTCATGTTCCGTTCCAGCTGACATTTTCAGCCTCTCCTTTCCTGGATTTACACTTGCTCTCCGCTTGCCTGCCTTCCTCTCCCTCCTTCCCACCCCCCACCCCCCATCCTCTATATTTCATACTATTCCCACCTGATCTCTCCATTTGGAGTCTACCTCTATTTTTTTGCCTCTGGCTGGGCTTTTCATTTCTCTCTCTCCCCCCCCCAAACTCCTTCCACCAGCCTTTATGCTGACACATTTCAGCACTGCTGCTCCTTGCTGCCGCTTCTTTTTCTCTCTTTTATCCCTGCGGCTCATGTTTCCAGTGGCTATTTTTCTACACAAACCGTCTCCTCCGGCTTCCTGCTACGCTGGGCTGCATTACCTCTCCGACACGGCCAGGCGGTATTCCCAGCTGAGATTCCTTCCCTGTCTATGCGCCCGCTCAAGGCTTGGGTGTGTCTGTTATCTTATCTCGCTTTTCTAGAAGCGTGTGCCTCTTTATTTTCCTCCGCTGGCTCCAGAATAAACTCATGGTAAGTCTGGGATGTGGCCCTGCAGTGTTCCCCCACTCTCTTGTGTATATATCTAGGTAATCTAGTCTGTGCATCTGCAAGCTGTTGTTCCCAATTTCTTTTTCTGCATGCCGTAGTCGTGAAATAAATTTGAGACCTGTTCTTTCCGTTCCTGGGCGCTCGATGCTGTATTCCCAAACGTGCCGTTTCTCCTAGAGATTTCTTTCCGTTTGGCAGGGCTGTTTTCTTTGACATTTCATAGCCAAGGCTTGGTTTGTGCATGTTGTGCATAGATGGGAATCTGTTTTTCCCCCCTGCATCTTTTTGTGGGTCTCTTTTGTATGCTGTTTGTGTCCATCAGAAGAGTAGACAGTGTGTGTTCCTGTGTCTCCATATCTGCAGGCTACTAAATTATTATGCACATGTCTATGAGCAGCCAGCTAATAAGGAATGCTGGTGTGTGTGTGTACAACAAACCCCCCCTTCTACCCCCCTGTGCTAAAACAATGTTTTGTGTGTCCACATTTCTGTATATGTGAGGTGTGTGCATGCACACATAACGCTGACTTAGCGTGCAGTAGTGGTCCCTTCTGCCTCTCCTGCTTATAGGTTTTGAGTGCCCTGCTTTTTTCCCTGAGATCTATTTGATCACCTGTGTGTGCCTTCTGTGTCTGCGATTTTCCGCTTTTCTGCTAGAGTGATGTCAACTTGGCTTCTGCCGCGAATACATTCTGCTCCTAACGGAACAGGCTTTCTGGTTCTTGTTTACAAAAATGACCCTACGGTATGTGGCCGGGGTGTGCATGCACACAGCGGTGCAAAGGAACGTACGTGTGTGTGTGTGTGTGTGTGAGTGATGCTTGTGAGATTGATCCCAATACAGAGCACCAAAGTTAATTCAGTGTACAAACCTTTACGTGCTAAAAGGCATCTCTCTAAGGCTGCCTGCCTGCCTGCCTCTCCCTCCCTGACAACTTCAGTTATGTTTGCCTAAAACTGTGTGTCTCTTGGTGCAGGTTGTTCCCTACCCGCTGTACCATGTGGTCTCCTTCGGCAGCCCCGCTGCCTCTCCTCCGCCCTGGGAAGAGGCTCCCTGGTTCCTGTGAGCGCCTAGATTTTCTCTGAACAGTTCCTGATGCGCCCAGCTGGGCACTAAACAGGGAGGCCTGCAGCGTCGCCTGTTGCAGCCGATGCCTGTCGCCCGAGAACCCCAGCTTCTCCATTCACACGTGGCCTGATAACCACCGCCAAGAACCAGCCGAGCCCTCCAGAAGGCTCGCTGACCGACGCCAGTACCACTGCCTCTTCTCGTCCACCAGGTCCTGGGGAACACAATGTCAAAGCCGCCTGTCAGCTCCCAGACTGTCTACTCTCTGTTATAAGATTCCAAGGAGTTCCATCGACCGCGATAACTCCGCAATTCCTAACCACCGTATATGCCTGTAAACCGAAGGCCTCGCGGCCCTCCCATGCCTGTAATGGCAAGAGGGTCCTTTTAAGCTCTCTTGTCCAAACCGTGACACCAGCTGTGGAAGGCCGGGAAACAGTCGATTCGAGTGCTTATCTCCTGTTGCCGAAGACCTCTAGGAAAACTGTCTCCGATGACAAGGGACCTCTAGGAACTCTGGAATGTTTGGTGCTAGCCAAAGAAATCCTCTTGGTTTCAGAGCCCTCCTTCTATGACTGCAGTCCAAGAACAACTTAAAGACCCCATAGCTCTGTACAGTCAACACCAGCTCGGGTCTTTCGCTCCCAAAGCACGACGGACCACTAGCCGAAGAACGCTGGGTTTTGGTAGGTGTGACTTTTTGTATGCCTACAGCCGGAGATCTCTTGGAGTGCTGGTGTGCTTGCAGTCAGAAAGCTGTGGAACGGCTGTAGTGTTCTTGCATCTCTACCGGCAGAAACAGCAAGGCCTCCACGCTTCTGTAATTAAAGACGACCCCCGGGTTCGCCTGCAGGTAAACCAAAGGCTTTGGGGACGCCTGTAGCACGAGGAGTGCTAACTTTTAATACAGGTGTTGCTCTACTGCATGCCTCATAACCGCGAAACCTTGGCCTTCTCCTGCAGCCAGCTGCTCTCCTCTGTCCCAGCTAACGGAGAAGCCTTGTGAATCTCTGGTCAGGAAGCCTCCGCCTGCCGGTGGCTCCTTTACATGTCTGCAACCAAAAAAAGCCAGGCCTTGCCCACGCTCTGGCTGTAGCCCTGAAGGCGTATCTCAGAAGAGAAGCAGGAAGGGCTTCCCCAATGCCTGGCTGCGAGGAAGGAGGCTTGAAGGGCTGAGGTCTCTCTGTGTGGGGCAGCGCCATGTAGAGGCGCCCCGGAGGGGGAGCGGAGGAGATGCGCGCAGGGACTCGTGGGTAACTGGAGCCCGACAGGCCGGGGAGCTACGTTACATGAATGTCCAACGGAGGCAGGTTCGAGTTTGACGATGGCGGTTGCTATGTGGGAGACTGGGAGGAGGGCCGGGCGCACGGCTACGGCGTATGCACAGGCCCCGGGGCCCAGGGGGAGTACAGCGGGCGCTGGAGCCGCGGCTTCGAATCCCTGGGCGTCTACACCTGGCCCAGCGGGAACACCTACCAAGGCCACTGGAGCCAAGGGAAGCGGAGCGGGCTGGGCGTGGAGCGCAAGAGCAAGTGGAGCTACAAAGGGGAGTGGAGTCATGGGCTGAAGGGGCGCTCCGGCGTCTGGGAGAGCCACTCGGGTGTCATCTATGAAGGCATGTGGCGCGAGGGCCTGCAGGATGGCTACGGCATGGAGACGTACGCTGACGGAGGTGAGAAGGCCGATAAAAAGCCCTGAGGCAGAGTGGAGTCCTTTCCACGCCGCCCCCCATCATTTGTCCTAGTGTCAAGTTGGCAGTAGGCCCATTCCCCACTTCCCCCACCCACCAAAACACTGTTTTTCGCCATTTCTCCTCTTCCTTCATAGCTTGACCAACTCTTCCTTCTCCGGTTCCCTAAATCGCTCCGTCGCTCTTGCCACACGGACACCAATAGTTCTTCATCACCCAGCTGTTCTCTCCGTTTCTCCCTCTGTCCTTCCATCACAGAGGTGTAGGGGATAGATTGTGAACCCAGGAGTCACGGGTTCAAATCCCTGCTTGGCCATGCAGTTTCAAGAGTAGCCTGGGAAATGCCACTCCTTACTTCAATCAAACCCACCATTCTACCCCTGAGGATGACATACGCTAAATGGATGGGCTCCCCCAAAACCGAAATCAACTCGCTCCCACTTCTCCATCTTGTTTCTTTGTTTTCCTCAGTCCTTTCTAGGTGGACGTTCCCCATAAGGCCCACCATTATTTTGCATCCTTATTCCTTATCCCTTCTCCACCTGCCGCAAGAATAGTGTGGACCTCTGACCCATGTCCCGTGCTCCTAAGAGACACTGGGTGGTCCTCTTGTAACTGGCAGGTTTGGGGGATCATTCCCCTCCTTTCCACTGGGTCAGCTTTCTCTTCCTTTCCCCCACCTCTTGCTTCATGCGTCTCCTGCATCCCCCAACCTGTTCACCTGGCTAACCTCTCTCTTTCTCCACAGGGACCTACCAGGGCCAGTGGCAGTCTGGCAAGCGGCACGGCTACGGCGTCCGCCAGAGCGTCCCTTACCGCCAAGCCGCCCTGGTGCGCTCGCCGCGCCGCACCTCTCTGGAGTCGCTCCACAGCGAGACCGACCCCAATGCCCCTGCTCCACCCCTGCCGCCCCCTCCTCTGCCCCCTCCGCCGCTCCCCGGGGACAGCCCGGCCTCGGGGTCCAGGGGCGGCTTTGTCTTGGCCTTCCCCGGCGATCCGGACTTCCCCAAGGGCGCCAAGAAGAAATCGGGGGGCTTCTTCCGGCGTTCCCTGCTCCTGAGCGGGCTGCGGGTGCGCAGGGCCGAGTCGAAGGCCTCCTTGGGGAGCAAGCGAGGGTCCCTCAAGAGCGAGGCCGGGGTCAGCTCGGCCGGGAGCGAGGCCACCACGCTCAGCTATGCTGAGACGGAGCCCCCGGAGCTGCCGTCGACGCTGACCATCGAAGGCTCTTCCACCGAGGTCTACGCCGGAGAGTGGCGCGTGGACCGCCGCAGCGGCTACGGGGTCAGCCGCCGCTCCAACGGGCTGCGGTACGAGGGCGAGTGGCTGGGCAACCGCAGGCATGGCTATGGCCGCACGACCTACCCCGACGGCTCCAAGGAAGAGGGCAAGTACAAGCTCAACCGCCTGGTGAGCGGAAAGGTGAAGAACCTCATCCCGCTTCGCCGCAGCAAGGTCAAGGAGAAGGTGGACCGGGCTGTGGAAGTGGCCAGGAGGGCGGTCAGCATGGCCCGGCAGAAGCAGGAAGTGGCCATCGCCAGGTGAGGGCAAACAAGTTGCTTGTGGGTGCGCAGGTGCCGGGAGGCTCCTCCTGTGTAGTTTTATGGGGATGTGGCGCTGAGGTAACGCGAGGTCACGCCAGCCAACTCTTTCAAACTGTGTTGGTCTTGAGAGAGAACTGTGGAACTCGCTGCTGCAAGAGGCAGTGATAGCTGACAGCCTAGATTGGCTATAAAAGAGACAAATTCAGGTGGCTCCTAGTCGTAATAGCTATTCTCTGCCTCTACAATGAAGAAATAAGGTAAATTTTGAAAGAAAAGTTAATGTTATAATAATATGCAAAATGATATCAACAATAAGCAGTAGATTTTTGGATTACTTCTGAATACTAGTTGTTGTCAACTGCAGGTGTAGAGAGTGTTCTTGAGTACGAATCCTGCCTGTGGATTTTCCACAGGTGTCAGTCACTGTGAGAACATGGTGCTGGGCTAGATTGGCCATTCGCCTGATTCAGCAGAGCTCTTCTTATGTTTGTATGTTTTTACAGTGGGAGATGGATCACTTGAGGGGTTTTTTTTGGGGGGGGGGATTATAAAAAAAAGTTGGGAAAGATAAGAGAGTGGAACAAGTTTTCCACCAAGTTAGAAAAGGGCTTACTTGAGCCCATTATGGAAATGCATGCAAATGCTTTGTTGGCTAGCATTGAAACTGAAATTGTGGCAACAGTAGCTTTGGAGAAAGGTGAATTGGTCTGTAGGGCAATATTGGGAAAACAGGGTGCTTGCTTACGACCGCGCTGGCACATTGACATTTTTGAGATAGGTCTGAGGGACCCACACTAAATTTAATATTTGCTTGGGGTTAGGGGGCAGATTAAATCTCCGCCTTCGGAAAAAAAACAAATTTATTTTGGATTCTAAAATTCACCACCTGGGGATGGCTGTTTTCCTCCCCCCAAAAAAAGTGTGTCTATCTGATGATTCCTGGGCTCTTCTTCAGAAGTGTGGGCCTAAGCCTTTTTTCTGTCCTGTAGATCTGGACTTAACGTAAATAGCCTGAGTCCTTCTGCCTGCCTGCCTAACTTTGCACCCTTCCCTCCAGTTTGGGAGTGCAGGATTATAACCCTGTGGCCCAGCTGAAGTTGGGAGTGCTGCTAGCTGGCTGTGCTTGACTCCTGGCGTTCAAGATAACCATCTTTCCCCCTCCCTCACCACAGAGGCAGCCATTTTAAAAGCAGGACTGGCAGAGCTTCCCTTAAGCGGATCCCTGTCCCAGACGTGGACGGATACCTTTATAAACTCCTCCAAGCATGCCTCCCGGGCGGAAAATAAGCTATAAAAGTAATTAACCATAGGTGGGAGAAGACCGTAAAGCCTGTGTGTGTAGCAGTTTGCTTTTCTTAAGCTGGCACTTGGAAGGTGAAAGGGATATCAACTCTTGAGGGGCTGTCCCTATGGACTGAGCGTCAGGACCATCTCTGGCCTTCAAAGCAAAGACATTTTGATGGCTCTTGATGCTTGCCCAGGGCTGCCGCCGCTCACTTTTATTTTCTTTATTTTCTTTATCACTTTTACTCCTCTTTTTTATTTCCCCCCACCCTTTCACAATATATGTATATTTCCCCCCATTTGACTCCATGTGTCTTTTAGATGTTCTTAGCCTTCCCTGCTCATCTGACACGCTTTCCACATGGCTCAGTTCCTCCACTTTAACATCTATTCTTCCTTTTGCTCCCTCCTTTAACTTGCAAAATCAATTGATTTCCTGCTTTTCACACGCACACAAAGCTTCAGAAAAGTGTGTGTGGTGTGTATATGGGTGGGGAGAGAAACATAGCTGTCAACGTTTCCCTTTTTTTAAGGGAAATTCCCTTATTCCGAATAGAAAGAAAAGGGAAAATTTGACAGCTATGGAGAGAAAGAAGGGCCATATAGCTCATTGGCAGAGCATCTCTCTTGCAAACAGATGGTCCCCACTTTCAAAACCCTGGTAAGGTTGTGAGAAGACCACTCCTGGTCTGAAAACCCTGGGGATCCATTGCTGTCAGTCATTGTGGACAATTCTGAGCTAGACGGACCAGTGATCTGACTTGGTGTAAGGCAGATTCCTGAGAGAGAGAGAGAGAGAGAGAGAGAGAGAGAGAGAGAGAAGGGAGGAAAAAGTGTGTGCCTTGTCAGGGCGGAGAACAGGGAGGCAGAGGCTCCGCCAAGGCCTAGCAGCCTGGTGTAGGCTGCCTGGTCTCCTAGGCAACTGGGCAATGGCAAGGTGATTGGCTAGTGGCTGCTATGGCAACAGCAAGCAGCAGCATCTGCTGGGCATGGACCAAGGCTGGGCTGGGATGGAGAGGGGTGGGGGGGGGTGGGAATGAGTTGGGCAGGTGTGATCTGCACTTGCCCGTGATGGTAGGGGGAGACCATAGGGTACGTTCCCAGAGGGGAAAGGGTGGGGGAAGTTGGCTTGGAGGCGTAAAAGCCATAGGACGAGATACAGGGTACGTGGAGGAGGGTGAGGGTGGGGGTGTTGGGTTGTTACGTTGTGCAGAAGCAGCCTGTAAGTGTAGGTGGCTCGCAGGTTGCTGCGTGGGTGATGAAACACGGTGTTGTGAGGGTGGGTACGCAGACTGGTGCGTTCTGCAAGGAGCAGAGCAGGCTGAGGGTGGGAGAGGCACTGGCTGTCGAACGAAGCAGTCTTGGCAAAATTCACTCATATTTTTTTTTTGTTAGCTTTGTGAAAACGGTTTTTGAAACGTACTGGGGACGTGCAGCTATTAAAACACCATGCTTAAATGCTGACTCTAAACACGCTCACGAGGAGCCAAGTCTCGCTGACGCCGACAGAATTTACCTCTGAGGCACTGCTGCTTAGATGTGTTGAACGTGGTGTGTGTGCGTTTCTTTTGGGGTACGGCAAGGGATTGAGGGGTACCTGCCCCCTCCTAGATGTTTCTCATCCTTATCAACTTCTGGAAATTTGAAATGGTGGTACGATGCCCCTCACTCAAAAACAGACAGCATGGAGGCAAAAAGGACGGGGGCTTCCTTTATAGGACTTACTATTAAAAAAAATGAAGCGATGCTTTAGCTCCCGGACTTCCTGTGAAAGAGGAGCTGTGTCACAAAAGAAACTGGGACTCGGTTTTCTAGGAGTTGAGGCCGTTTCACGCTTGACACATTTTGCTAGGATCCGATTCCCAGAGGTGTTTGTTTTGCTGCTTTCCATCCAAGGTCTCCCATAGCGGCACACAAGAAAAATTAAAAATCTATAGGAAAACCAGCAGATTAGAAAAGAGAGCGACGATGTCAACGATAAAGTTAGGCAGCTGGCAGACAGAACAAAGACCAGAGGAGAGGCACAAAATAGAAACCACAGTATTGTGTCAAAAGAAAAAGAAATCCCACTGGAAAAGGATGGTCTCCATCATCCTTTGGAAGGAGGAGGCGGCTGTGTCTCTTTGGGGCAGTAGATCCCGAAATAAAGTGCCAGCGTTGGTGTGTATCCTTTCCCCAAACAGGAATGGCAGAACGTTCATCGTGTTTGATGGAGCCCAAAGATAAGCTCTCTGTTTTCTGGGAAATATTTTGAGAAGCAGCAGGTTTCCTAACAGTTATGCATTCTCTAAAAGTCACTAAAATAGCTTGAGGTGTTCAAAAGAGTTTCAGAATTAGTTTGCTGGGTGCTACAGTGACCTGGTTTACACATGACACTAAACCATGGTTTGTTTAAGCCACAGTTCATTTAAGTAACCAGGAATTAACCACAAGTTGTCCCACAGGTGTTCAAACAAACAATGACTTATTTCTCCCCCCAAATTCCCCCCCAACCCCTCTTGTCTCAGGCATTATTAGCTCAATGAGCTTCTGGGATGGTGAAACAACCCATAGTTATGGTAGGATTTACACATGATACCAAGGCCCAGTTAAAATAAACCAAGCTTCGCAAGTCAACAACAATCTATGGCTTCACACTGTGGTTTGTTGGCAGTAACCAAAGCGTGGTTAGGCAATGTTCGGGCAATAAACCATTCTTTGGTTAACCATAGTTTAACAAACCACCGCTTAGCATTTTGTGCAAACTAGGTCGTGGTTTCTAATAGCTATTAGACACATGCAGTTATTATTAATTCACTTTATATCCCCCTTTCCCATGGAGTCCTATGTCCAAAGCTGCTTATAATATCAATACAAACAAACAAAACAAACAAGGCACCAGACACCATGGAAGGCACCAGAACTAAAACCGTAGGTTGAAATTGACACGTTCTTTATCAGTAACATGTTATTGAACCTTAATAGCTGGTCTAAACAAATAATATTTCAGAGCCTGCCTAAACAGGCAGCATGGTGGCTCTTGCCAGAGACTGCGTCCCAAAATTTTGGTGCTAAAAGGCCATCCTCACACCTCCCCATTAAACCTCTGATGATGACTATGTGGAGAAGAGTCTCAAAGCCTTGGCAGATAGATAGTATATATAACAAAGAAAATACTATTTACAAATTCTGCAATACCTTTCAATAGAAAACCCCAAGGCAGGCAGCATGAATGACAATGCCTTTGCCAGCCTCCCGCCCTCTGGAAGGTTTCAGGTAGGAGAAGTTGCTTCTCAGACTGTTTTGCTGCTACCGTAAAGGCATTTTCACATACATGAATTCATGAGTTGGTAGGTTGGGGATTGAGTCTGCTTTCTCGGTTTCCTGTCCCCACATATTCATCTCAAGGTCTTCTAAAGTGGCAGTGCCCTCCAGTTTTTTTGGGACTACAACTCCCATCGACCTCTGGCCCTACAAGAGGACGGGAAGAAGTCAGAGTTAGATTAGGCAGAGGCCTTCTTGAAAAGCTTTGCCGTTTATTTGTCCATTTTTAAAAATTTATTATCACAGTGCCGCACCCCCTTTTTCTGAACCCCAAAGCAAGTAAGTAAAACAAAAGTTTGCTGTGCGTAGGAGAACCTATAGCAGGCCAGGTCTGTACAGCTGGTTGTGTTTGGCCAGTGGAAAACAGGTCGTATTTAGCAATTTGGGAAAGGGAATGAGTTTGGTCGTTACCGCTGCACTGGGAGCTGAGCCTAGGGGGCGCTGCAGGTTGCCACAACTATGACGTAGTGAGTTGTGTAGAGCAGAAGGCCAGACGGGGGTGCCGAATTTTGGGCTTGCACAGGGTGCCACTGAAATTTGAAAGGCCCAAGTCTGCCATTGCTGGACGTAACATTTGACTGGTTGGGGTGCAGGGATCCTGTGGCCCTCCAGACATTTTTTTTTTTTTTTTTGCCGGACTACAATTCCCATCAGCCCCAGTTAGTGTGGGTAATGGCTGGGGATGATGGGAGTTGGAGTTTCACAAAGCATCTCAAGCATGGGTAGGCAAACTAAGGCCTGGGGGCCGGATCCGGCCCAACCGCCTTCTAAATCCGGCCCGCGGACTGTCCAGGAATCAGCGTGTTTTTACGAGTAGAATGTGTGCTTTTATTTTAAATGCATCTCTGGGTTATTTGTGGGGCATAGGAATTCGTTCATTTTTTTCCTCCAAAATATAGTCCGGCCCCCCACAAGGTCTGAGGGACAGTGGACCGGCCCACGGCTGAAAAAGTTTGCTGACCCCTGATCTAGAGGGCCACAAGTTCTTCAGCCTTGCATTAGACTGTGTGAGGCAGAACAACTCAGGCAGCTGATTTGGGTGTCATTTTTAAAAAGTTCTAGATTCAGATGGGTAGCCGTGTTGGTCTGACGCAATCAATATATATATATATAAATAAAGAATTGTAGCACCTTAGGGACCAGCTAAGTTTGTTTTGGTATAAGCTTTTGTGTACATGCACACTTCTTCTTTATTTTTTATATATATTGATATTTTTTAAAGTTGTATTTTGTTTCCTGACCACCAGGAAATGGGACGGGTTTGGTTTTCTGTCCCAGGTGACAAAGTAACTGGGTTGGCCTTGTGTACAATACACCTTGAATTTTATTTATTTATTGTTTTGAAGGGGGGAGATCAGCAGTTGCTGCTCTGCTTGAGGCAGCCAATATATGTTTTGGGCTGGCCTTGAGGGTGTCGTGAGAAAAATGCTCACATCTCCACCTCAACCATGCAGTTCTCTGAAGCCCTCTTTTCTTTGCAGAGCCACTGACGCTCGTCTGAAGGCTGCCGCCGCTCTGGGTGCAGCCGAGAAGGCCCTGGAAGCCGCCCGCCTGGCCAAAATTTTGGCTCAAGAACTGCAGCCCATCTTAGCCGAGCCAGGTGAGAGATATTTGGGATGGTTTGGGGGGAGAGTGGGGGTTTACCCTGGAAATAAATGCCTCTCTGGCAAATTTTCCGGGAGGAACGCTTTGGGGGTTACACTATGTCTGACTGTCTCTCTTCCAGGTGGATATGGGGTGGTGAAATTTGACTAGGTTTGCATGTAAAAAGCAAAACGTACCTAACGTACCTCTTTTGAAATTGAATTTTGCAATGCAGTTTTCCGGCCAAGAAATGTGGGCAGAAAATCCACCCAAAGTGTGGATGGAGATGCATGAGATCAGATTAGATCAGATCAGATTATTGGGGGGAAATTGCTTTGCATGTTTGTGTACAAAATTGCAATCTGCATTGAAACGCTGAGGAATTTTCACGAGGAATGGATTTGCCGGCTGCTGTGGGAAAATGGAGAACTGGACATGAGATGACTTCGTGGAGGACAAAGGCTATCAAGGGCTATGTTCTACCTTTGCGGTCATAGGCGTTATGTCTCTGAATATCAGCTGCTGAAAATCGCAAGGGGGGGAAATGTGGCTGCGACCACGTCAGGCTTGCAGGCTTCCTGCAAGCATCTGGTCGGAAGCTGTGAGAACAGGATGCTGCCCTCATCCAGCAGGCTCTTCTTCAGTTCTTAATATTGGGAAAATGAGAAACCGAGAGAAACAAAAATTGGCAGATTCATCCATCCTTAATTCCATTTGTTTCCTTGGGAACATTTTTTTCTGTAAAGGTAAAGGGACCCCTGACCATTAGGTCCAGTCGTGGCCGACTCTGGGGTTGCGGCGCTCATCTCGCTTTATTGGCCGCGAGAGCCGGCGTACAGCTTCCGGGTCATGTGGCCAGCATGACTAAGCTGCTTCTGGCGAACCAGAGCAGCGCACGGAAACGCCGTTTACCTTCCCGCCGGAGCGGTACCTATTTATCTACTTGCACTGGCGTGCTTTGGACTGCTAGGTTGGCAGGAGCAGGGACCGAGCAACGGGAGCTCACCCCGTCGCGGGGATTCGAACCGCCGACCTTCTGATCGGCAAGTCCTAGGCTCTGTGGTTTAACCCACAGCGCCACCCGCGTCCATTTTTTCTGTAAGGAGTGCTTTTTATTTTTCTATTTCAAGAGGAATTGGGGTGTACGTGTGGGACCCCTGCATTACATAGGGTATTTCTTATGTTGTTTTCTGGAGTCCATGGACTGATCTTGGTCTGACACAGCAGAGAGGTTGGGATTTTGGTGCAATGTTAGGATTTTGTGTGTGGATTCTACCATAAATCGGCTTTTTTCCCTAGACTCCTCCCTTGCTCCCTCCTGAGAGACGCACAGCCCGCTCAGTAATCCTGGTTTCTATCCCTAATGCTACTGTAAGCTCTTTGAAGGCAGAGATCTTTCTATTTTGCTTGAGGGACTCAGCAAAGTTCCAAGTGTGTTGATGGCGTGCTATTTCTTTCTCTTTGTGTGTGTCTCCGAGGTGTCCTGCCTCAAGCTCCTTGGAATGGCAGGAGCCGGATGCAGGTGAAGGTCAACAATTTTTTTAAACCCACCAGTGTCTTTATTCAAAGAAACCAAAACAGCACAGGCCTAGCGACCCCATCAACTGTTCCCTGTAGGTCTTGCCCCAGGGAGGCGAGGACTGAAAGTCCCCCTGCGTTCCCACAGCTCCCAAAGTCCACTCCTCTCTGGGGTGGTTTTCCCAAGCAATCGGAGACTATGTCTGAGCGCAACCAGTCTTTCCTCTGCTCTTTTCACTTTCTCTGTGTGTTCTGGAAGACCAGGGAGAGGGAAGCTGTTAGCCAGCAGGAGGGGGAGACTCCCCTGGTTTCCGGAGGGGATACGGGGGACGGCGCGGCACTGAGAGTCGATCGCTACCGCCGCTGAGCGAAGCCGCGAGCCATAACTGGAGAGCGCTGACTTCCTTCCTTAAAATTTGGACTGGAAAAAAAGAACCCGTGAGTAATTTGGAACTGAACTTTAAAATTTTCTACCTTCTGAATTTGAGACGACCGGGGGGGTGCGCCAAAAGGAAGTCCCCACCCCCCCCTTGCAGACGATCCAGAGCAACGATATAAGAGCTAAGCTGGAGTGCCTACCCTGCAAAGGGTGAGTTTTAAAAAGACAGTAACTTCCAAGATTTGGAAAAGCAAATTTGGGCAGGAGAGTGGAGTGTTGGAAGAGTCTTTGTTTTGTGGTAAACAACCCTCCCTCCCGGGCCCGGGAGTGACCTGCTTTGGAGCCTGTATAGAGGAGCAGAATTTGACAGCTGTCAAAGCTGTCAAATGGACTGTTAACAGTGGAAAAATTGCTATCTAAGACCTCTCCGGATTAAAAGGAGTTACAATTGAATTAAAATTGTGGGAAACAAAGAAACAACAACAGGATAGAGGATTGTTGGAGAAAAGTTCATTAAGTAACTAGATTCCCTCTAGGGGGAACTCTGTGGAATTACAATGGCTGTGGGTGGAAAGATACTGAGAGAAATCGAAAGGATGTTTTCACTGGTGGGAACCTTACAGGAGCAGACTATAGTTATGAGTAAACAATTGATGACCTTGAATTCGGAAACAAGTAGTTCTGCTGAATGCAATGAAGACCTGAGTGAGAAAGAACCCACAGCTGAATTCGAAATAATAAACAAAGAAGAGGAGAAGACAAAACATGAAAGAGAACAAGTTATGTCGGAAAATATCAACCAGAAGTCGGCATTTGGAGAACACAAGCAAGGAGACTATTGGATTAACTCCATTTTAAGTCTACGAAAGATACAGAAGACGAAAGAGGAAGCCCTGGAAGTTTATGGAATTCAGGAGCTTGAAATAAAGAAGTACAATTGGGGCATCCACATAGACTTTGATTTTGACTATCACCAAGACTTAGGCCTTGCAGAAATGCCTCAGCAGTTGTTTCTAAATATGGGAAGAGACTATGGATTGATTGGATTGATTGTTAAGGAAATCTTTCGAGACCCGATGACCAACAAAAAGGACTACCAACAAAATCGGCGGAGAGGGACTGAAAGAGACTTGAGAGCTTTGGATGTGCGGAATCCAGGCTAAAAAATGTTATTTTGGACATGTCTTGGGAAAGGACGCAAAGCAGGAATGGGAGGGAGGAAGCATTTAAATTTAAACAACACTCAAGACCAGGGGGTTTAGTTAATAAGAAAATTATTTAAGAAAAATGAGAAATCGTGGGAAGAGAATTGGGGTCCAACTTAGGGAAAATTTATTTTTGTTTTTATAAAAGGATTAATATCAAGACGGAGAAGGAAATACCAATTTGCTGACATAAACTTGGGAATAGGGATGCAAGGAGGGGGGTGGGGGGAAGTCAGGACTAGGGTTAGAAAATAAGATTTTTCGGGAACTATACATGTTTGTTGTTTTTATGTTTGTTTTGATGTTATGTGTTGTGTCTTTATCTATATAAAATGTGAAAACCCAATAAAAATATTTAAAAAAAAAAAAAAGGAGGGGGAGACTCCCTGGTTTCTTCAGCAGCCTGGCTCATCTCTGTCTCCTGCCTCCCTCCTCTCCTGCCTCTGAGTCGGGACTGCTGTCTGCCCCAGCTTCTCCCCACTCACAAAGCCCTGTTACTTCAAGTTCTGTGTGCCCCACCACCAACCCCCTGCTTCTGAGCCTTCATTCCTTGGGGGTTCCCCAGCTTGTGCCCCCCCTCCTCTGCATCCAGCCAGTCATGGAGGAAATCAATGTGATAGATAAAAATTCTAACCATAGTCACTTACCCCATTGGAAGTCGAGATGCCTGGATCTGAGTTCAGGGGAAGGGAGCTCTGCAGCTCAGGAGTGCATGCAAAAGGCGGCAGATTTAATCCTCGAATAGGGTTGGGAAGAACTCCGGCATGAAAGACTGGAGAGATGCAGATGAACCCAGTCGCCTGGCTCAGGAAAAGGCTGTTTCTTGTGTTGCCAGTTCTGCCCTCCTTCTTCTTTTTGAAATCTTTTTTAATTTCAAAATAATAACAAAATTCTTTATACAATCGATCCATGAGATTCTCTGAATCTCCCCTCCCATTACATGGGTCCTAATAACAATTTTTTTACCAGTCTACATATCAATATATTCTCCATACTTCTCATAACTATAAGTTATACATAAACCTCGTTGCTTTACAAGTGATTCTTAAAGTCCAGCTAACGTTTTAATTTGCTTGCAGTGTTCTCTTAGGTAAATTATTAATTTCCCCCATTCTTTTTAAAAGTCCTTATCTTCTTGATTCCTGAGTCTCCCAGTTAATTTTGCCATCTTGGCATAGTCCAGCTTGCAATTCTTCCTTAGTCGGAATTGTTACTACTTTCCGTCTTTGGGCTAATAACAGTCATGCAGCTGTTGTCATATACATAAAAAATCTTTTGTGTTATTTTGGGATCTTGGTACCTATAATTCCTAATTAAAAGGCTGCTGGTTTTTTTTAAACAAAAGTTATTTTAAGCATTTTCTTCAATTTGTTATATATCATTTCCCAAAATGATTTTGTTATCTTACACGGCCACCGCATATGATAAAAGGTACCCTCTTTCTCTTTACACTTCCAGCAGCTATTTGAACTTGTTGTATACATTTTAGCTAACTTAAAGGTAAAGGTAAAGGGACCCCTGACCATTAGGTCCAGTCGTGGCTGACTCTGGGGTTGCGGCGCTCATCTCGCTTTATTGGCTGAGGAAGCCGGCGTACAGCTTCCGGGTCATGTGGCCAGCATGACTAAGCCACTTCTGGCGAACCAGAGCAGCGCACGGAAATGCCATTTACCTTCCCACCTCAGAGGTACTTATTTATCTACTTGCACTTTGATGTGCTTTCGAACTGCTAGGTTGGCAGGAGCAGGGACCGAGGAATGGGAGCTCACCCCATTGCGGGGATTCGAACCGCCGACCTTCTGATTGGCAGGCTCTGTGGTTTAACCCACAGTGGCACCCGCGTCCCTTTTAGCTAACTTAGTAGGAATCAAATACCACCGGCAGCTCTGCCCTTCTTGGTCTCTTCCACCTGGAGACAGAATCCTGAGTGCGAGCCCTTCCACCACCTGCCCCAGCTCCCGGCCACCCTGGTTACCGTACCTCGCAATGCCCCACTTCCTGTGCCTTTGAACCAAGGGCTCTGAACCCCTGGCTCCTTCTGCTCTAACCACTAGGCTCCTCTCCTTCCCCAGAGCCCCGCGGCCGGCTAGATTCGGAAGGCACCGACACGGACTTCCAGGAGTACGACAGCCCCCGGGTCTACGAGAACGGCATCACCCCCTCCGACGTCACCCCGGACCCGAGCTTGCCCCCCAGCTACCCTCCGACGCCGCTGCAGCCCTGGCGAGGGGACCCTCGGCGGACTTGGCCCCCCTTGGAGAACGGAGGCCCCCGCCAGCACCTCCCCCCGGAGGCCTCCGACCCTGAGGACGAGTGGGGCTGCCGGGGGAGCTTCCCTTCCCGGACACCGGGGTTCGTCCCCGAGGGGCTGTGGGAGGGGGAACAGGAGCAGCTCAGCAGCTACGAGGCGGAGGAGGAAGATTACGAGGGGGCACCCCCACGGCGCCCCCAGCTGGGCAGCCCCGCCAGCGGCAGTTCCGGCAGTCTCCGGGAGGAAGAGGAGGAGGAGGAAGAAGAGGAGGAGGAAGGAGCAGCGGCTTCCAGGCCTTATCCTGCGGAGACCCAGGTGGAGCCAACGCCGGCAGTAGGTCCGGGGGCCCCAGAGCTGGAGAGCGAGGAACTGCCTGGGGGTACAGGGTGCTTTGTGGCAGAGAGAGAGGAGCCCCCTGGAGCTGTGCGGAGAAGGGAGAGGCAGGTAAGAGCACAGGTTGTATGACTTTCCTGCTGCCGTAGCCCCACTAGGCTGCATAGGGTGTGAAACAGGACGGAGGTGCCCTGGATTGTGGCCCCCTCTCTCCTCAGGGGCCACACGGGGGGCCCAGCTCCCCAGTCGCAGAAGAGGCGGCTGCTTATCAGCAGAGCGTTTCCTCTGCTGACACAAATGTCCTGGGTTTGTTAAAAGTTGGGTGGGGAGACTTTTTCGCTCCCAGGGCCACACGGCCAGGGAGGGGAATCTTTCAGGGGCCGCATGCCAGTGGTGGGCGGGGACTGGGGCAAAAGTGGGCAGGGCAACAGCTGTGTTTTTACACATAGGTAAAGGTAAAGGGACCCCTGACCATTAGGTCCAGTCATGGCCGACCCTGGGGTTGCGGCGCTCATCTCGCTTTACTGGCCGAGGGAGCTGGCGTACAGCTTCCGGGTCATGTGGCCAGCATGACTGAGCCGCTTCTGGCAAACCAGAGCAGCGCACGGAAACGCCGTTTACCTTTCCGCCGGAGTGGTACCTATTTATCTACTTGCACTTTGAGGTGCTTTCGAACTGCTAGGTTGGCAGGAGCAGGGACCGAACAACGGGAGCTCACCCCGTTGCGGGGATTCGAACCGCCGGCCTTCAGGTCGGCAAGTCCTAGGCTTTGTGGTTTAACCCACAGCGCCACCCGCGTCCCGTTTTTACACATACAAACCTCTGTATCCATCCAGAGGCGCTATCAGAGCTCAAGGGCTCATTCCAGGCAGGCGAAAACCCTCAGGGAGGTTGATGGCCCCGATTAAGTGTTGTGGCCAAGGGGGCGGGGAAACCATTGGTGGGCGGGGCCAGGGACAAAAGTGGGACGGGGCTATGAATGCCAAGAGGCATTGCCACGGACAGAAAGACTCAAAAGATGGTGTGAAATAGGGCCAGTGAGGGGGCGTGGCTTGGGAGACTCCTAAGGGCCAGAAAGAGGGGCCCAGGGGCCACATTTCTTCTCCAGGCCTCCAGGCTCACCCACCTCTCTTTTAAAGGAGGAGGAGGTGGGAAATAGTGTTTTTCTGCCCTGGAGATTTGCTGCCAGAGACAGCAAAATTGTCTTGGATGGTGTAAGGCAGCTTCCACAGCAGGGAAAGGATCCACATTTGTGTTTATAGGAGAAGCCGACGGAGGGGAGCTGGGACTTTTGCCCTCGGGAGAGTGAGGCCTAGTGAGCCCCCTGGAGAGGCATGTTTGGATATCGCAGAACATGTTGTTTCTGTGCTGTCATAACTGCAAACACACAAGCACTGCTGCGATTTCCAAAAAAAGGTTTCCACCATTGCGTGTGCTTTGGCAGATGATTAGTAGGCAGGCCATGAGCACGTGAAGCTGTCCCTCGAACGCTGAGGGAAAACTGAGCCAGTGGAACGTCTACATCTCACGCAGGTCTTAAAAGGCACAAAACCTCTGTTAAAAGGGGTCAGGACGACGTTTTTGTGGCACAAAATAGGCTGTGTGTTAACCGTCCATTTCAGCCCTTCATTGATGGTCTTTTTCTCCCCAGTGATGTGGAAAAAGCTGATATATATATAAATTAGAGTCACTATTTCTCAGATTTGAATAATGACCATGGAAGATTTTCTGAATCCCTAGAGCCTGTGGCCCTTATGTGGCCCTCGAAGCTTTCCAACCTGGCCCTTGAGTCTCCCAAGCCACCCCTCTCACCAGGCCTACTTAGAAACCTCTTTTAAGTCTTTCAGTCTATGGCAATACCTCTTGGCTGGAGGCCATGGTTCTCAACATCACGATAAATCACCAGCTAAATATTGCGATATACCGATATATCACAACATCTGAAATAAGGATGGAGCTCTGTAGAGGCATTGGCTGGTTTCACAGCTTTTCCTGCGTTGTGATTTTTGCATAGCACACACATCATGATTTGCAATATATTGCCAGGTCAAAAATTATGAAACTGATATCACAATATGGACTGGTTTTGGATGATATGTTGATAGCCCAAGGTGGGAGTGTGGAAACTAGGGACCTGTGCAAGGCTCACCTTTGCATTCGTAGCTCCGCCCACTTTTGCCTCTGGGCCCCGCCCACCACTGGCTTCTCCTCCCCTTTGGCCCTACAGAGCGAGCCAATTAACCCTGTATTTGGTGCCTGTCTATTCACTGCTTTTAATGAAGTTATGGGATCGGTGGGGTGGGGAATGTCCTGCTTCATATCACATTTCTCCTCCACCTCTGCCTCGCTCAGCCCCACCTTCTGCTGCCCCCTCTGGTCTGGGGCACTAGGAACCCAGAGGACGACTCGGCACCCAGCTCCCATAACCCAGTTTGCACCCGCAGCCACCTGGGATACTCAGGTGTCATGCAGCTTAAAATCCCTGGGCTGAGTAGCAGCGAAACCGAAAACTGGGGCAGTAGAGCTTTGCTGTGCTGTCTCTCAGCATCTCTTTAAGGTGGGGTCTCCCCAGAGGGGCTACAGAAGCCCTGCAGAGGCTTGGAGATTTGCCCTGGTGTTTTGAACACAAGAGTATGGTGGGAATCGCAGTGTCGAGCCGTAATCTGTGGAAAGAAAAAAGCGCTTTTCTCTGCATAGACAGATGCTCCCACCCCCAAATATTCCCCTTTTATAAAGCAGGGGATCGAAACACCCCCAAACCTCTTTTCCCAGCACCCCACCCCACACTCAGACTCTGTAACTGTGCCCCTCCTGCACGGAGCTAGGAATAAGACCAGGGAGTCCTTGCCCCAATCTGACCCCATAGGTCCGACCTACTTCCTCTGAGAAAGCAACAGTTAAATTGTTAGGTCTTTAAGGTGCCACAAGACACCATTTTTTGCTGCAAAAGACTGGAAGCAATTAGATCCTAGCTAGTTCCCTTCCTGTGGGTCCTCATCAGAACCTTTCGCCCTCCATCCTCTCAGCCCATTTCCTGAAACTGTAATATTCCTTTGCTTCCTAAGCCCCACTGCCCTCGAGAACAGAGTGTCTGGCTTCCACCGCTGTCCCCTTCCGTTGTTTTCTCTTCCTGCCTCCCTCCATTTTCTCTATTTCCTGAGCTCCACGTTTTGTTCTGAGTTCCTTTCCCCCCCCCCTTCCCCTGGACCTAGAAGTGATGATACTGGCAGGAAGAAATGGGAGGGGCCGGAGCGGTGGGAGGGGCCTAAGTGCCAGGCCTCCAATGGGGATTGGCCGGCATTCTTCCTCCCGTCTCATAGCAACCAGCATCCCGCACTCAGCAGCATCCCTCTCTGGTCCCTCCTTCCCTACTGCAGCAACGCTTGGCCCTGCCCATCGCTGGAGAGCCGCAGTGGGGGGCACTGGGAGTTTGCTGGCAAGCAGGACTGCGGGTCATAAATAATCCAGAGGTCCTGGTCGCGAACAGCAAAGAGGGCAGAGCTGCGTCCTGCCGCCCCCCAGGGGCCGCTCTCCCTTTCCCAAAGAGCTCAGGAAGAGTAGACGATAATCAGGTATCCGGGTGAAGGATCCGTTTGGACATTTGCCCACCCTTTGTGGTTGTCAAGAGCCGTGTGGACACCCCACACCCGTCCTGTGTGTTGTGCCTCCCCCCCCCATTAAACGCAGCCCCACGTGGCTGGCTGGAATGCTGACTCCCGAGTAATTCGCCCCACTGTTCATTTATGAGCGGAATTGCACACGAAAGGATGGCACCCTGCCGAAAGGAGGAGAAATAGCTAGCCCCTCCTCTTCCCAGCAAGGAGGCTGGGGGTACCCGATCAGCACCCACCCATCGCCTTCCCGAATGACACCCCCCCCCAGCCTCTCTCACTGCAGCAAGAAGGGGAACGCGAGAGCAGGGCTCACTACACAGTCCGTCCTAAAACCAGAGCACTTGAGCTGAAGAAGAGTTTTGGCCGAGGCTCATCGCGACTCAATATTCCGATTCAAATTCCTCAGCAGGGCCCTTCCTCAACCTGCTGCCACCCGGAATCTGGTGCTCAGATATATCACTCCTGGACAGGGAGGTTCCATTTTGACATTGCTTACAGAGCGCTCTTACGAGGCGTGGCTTCAGGAGAACTGAAGACGGGCAGGAAGCAATGCCAAAGCTTCCATTTGCCAGCTGTGCTGCTGAGCCTTCCCCAGGGAGACATCTGGGTGATGTCTGCATCCTTTTCACCCGGGATAATTATTATTATTATTATTATTATTATTATTATTATTATTATTACCCCGCCCATCTGGCTGAGTTTCCCCAGGCACTCTGAGCGGCTTCCAATCGAGTGTTAAAAACAATACAGCATTAAATATTACAAACTTCCCTAAACAGTGCTGCCTTAAGATGTCTTTTAAAGAGAAGATAGCTGCTTATTTCCTTCACATCTGAAGGGAGGGCATTCCACAGGGCGGGCGCCACTACCGAGAAGGCCCTCTGTCTGGTTCCCTGTAACCTCACTTCTCAACAATGAGGGAACCGCCAGAAGGCCCTCGGAGCTGGATCTCAGTGTCCGGGCTGAACGATGGGGGTGGAGTCGCTCCTTCAGGTATACAGGACCAAGGCCATTTAGAGCTTTAAAGGTCAGCACCAACACTATGAATTGTGCTTGGAAACGTACTGGGAGCCAATGCAGATCTCTCAGGACTGGTGTTATGTGGTCCCGGCAGCCACTCCCAGTCACCAGTTTAGCTGCCGCATTCTGGATTAATTGCAGTTTCTGGGTCACCTTCAAAGGTAGCCCTATGTAGAGCGCATTGCAGTAGTCCAAGCAGGAGATAACCAGAGCATGCACCACTCTGGCAAGACAGTCCGCAGGCAGGTAGGGTCTCAGCCTGCGCACCAGGTGGAGCTGGTAGACAGCTGCCCTGGACACAGAATTGACCTGTGCCTCCATGGACAGCTGTGAGTCCAAAATGACTCCCAGGCTGCGTACCTGGTCCTTCAGGGGCACAGTTACCCCATTCAGGACCAGGGAGGGATGGGGGAACCTAATCTCCAGGTGGCCTCATAGCTCTCATCAGCCCCCGTCAACATGGCCAGGGGAGGAATGGCTGGAGGGAGGCTGGTTCCCCATCCCTGTTCTGCAGCAACCCAGCTCAGAGCTGTACCCCCCCCTCAATTTGAAAACTATATGCTTTGCACCTTCCCTACCCAAGAATCCTGGGAATTTTTGCCACAGTGCTATGAATTTATTTGGCTAGCAAGCCCTGACCCTTTCTTAGCGATCCTCGGTTGGGTTTATTTATATTACATTTCCCCCCCCACAGCTCTTCGTTGCAAACCACACCAGGAGGATATCAAGAGGAAACAGGCCTTCAGGTTTTGGGATCCCCAAATCATTTAGTCATTTGCAATGTCGACGTTAAGTGCCTTGAATAGGACTCAGAAACAAATAGCTTGTCCCAATGATTAATCTGAAGGCTTCATGTTCACAGTCTGAAGACGTTTTGGCACTCCTAAATGTTTGTATCGGCACCAGTGATACTTGTACAGTGGTACCTCGGGTTACATACGCTTCAGGTTACATACGCTTCAGGTTACAGACTCCACTAACCCAGAAATAGTACCTCAGGTTAAGAACTTTGCTTCAGGATGAGAACAGAAATCGTGCTCTGGTGGCGCAGCGGCAGCAGGAGGCCCCATTAGCTAAAGTGGTGCTTCAGGTTAAGAACAGTTTCAGGTTAAGAACGGACCCCTGGAACAAATTAAGTACTTAACCCAAGGTACCACTGTACTCAGAAATATGCAAGTAAACGTTTTTTTAAAAGAGGGGGGAGAGAATCGAGCGCGAATGTTCTGCAGAATGTTTGAATCTGTGCGAAATTTCGTTTCAAGTTTTCAACGGATGTGGACCAGTCTTTCTGCCTGACTCCTCCCCTTTCCCTCTCTCTCTCTTCCAGGGAGCCCACCCATTGGTCGTTGCTGCTGTCCTGTTGATTGATGTGAGTCTGGCCTACCTGTTCTCCCTCCTCCTCACTTGAGATGGGTGGGGGCAGAGGGGGTGCCTTTGACCCTGTCCCCCCCCAACGCCCCACGACGACGGTTTGGTAACAGACTCCGATCTCCTCCATCCTCTGCCTTTCTTCCTGGAACCCCCCCTTCTCTTTTTTCACTCGTCTTTACACCCCCCCACCCCTTTGCTGCCTCCTTCCTCCTCCTCAACCTTTCTAGATTGTTTACATACGAAGGGCTCTCTTTCTACTGGAGATTTCACTGTTTTTTCTTGCTCTTTTTTCCTGGTCTTTTCACCCCAGCTCCATAATCCATCTTTCTTAACCCACACTTTGAAACTCGGGCTGGGGGGGGTCTTTTCACAATTATCTTAATGGGGGGAGTTGAGACCAAGGGGGCGAGTTTTGAGCCTTGTGGGGTTTTAAAACATTTTTGGGGGCCACGGACTGTAGGGGACCCCAGTCTGGCCTGCCTGCCATGAAATTGCATCCCCGTTGTCTCCTAAGGAGTCGATTCAGAACTCTCCCCCCACCGTCTAAGGAAGATTTGGGGGGGTTGATACTTAACAAAGCCCTGCCCCCCAACCATTCCAGTACACATGAACATTAATCCCCCCCTCAAGAGATGCTCCACACAAGTATAAAGAAGGGGGGCGATCTGTTTGCTTAAAGAAAAGGGTATCCAATTCGTATTTGTTCCCTCCTCACATTTTTTTCCTACCAGCAGATGGCGCCAAGAGAAAATGGACACCCATCCCAAGAATGGGGCTCCTTTTAAAGAGAGTTTGCAAAATCCTTGCTCCCCCTTTTTTCCACATTCATATTCTTACTTTCTATCTCTCTCTCTCTGCCACATCCTTTCCCTGAGGGAACCAGAACCTTCTTTTCAAACAAAAACAGACAAAAGAAGAAACAAACAAAAAAAAGGAGAACTTTTTATTTACGCTTTTATAAACCTTTTTCTCGCAGCGTTTGAATAATTAAAAATAAAAACACTATAAATTAACGAGAGGGTGAAAGGGAGATTCCTGTTAGCTTCGGAGAAGGGGGTACTGTTCGATTCCCATATACAGGAAGTCCCAATATGGAAAAGTGGGCATTTGCTAGGCCATACTAGGAATTGCCCTTTTTTCCCCTTGCAGCAGAATTGTGATAGGCAAAAGGTAGGGTGCCCTGCTGTGTATATGACAGGTGGGAGTGTAGCACCTTGGGGTGCCCCTCTGCCACCCCTGCACGGGGCAAGGGTGGCACGAGGCCAGCGCTGGGACAAAAGGAGCAAAAGGAGGATGTCCCACCCCGAAGGAGGTTTGGAGAATGAAGGGCCTGACCGTGAGGAAAGGGGAGATCTTGCCTTCTAGAGGGTATAAGAGTTGACCCCTATGGGGGCAAAAGTTGTGTGCCTTTGGAAAGAAGTGCAATAGGAGAGACCCTGCAATAAAGGGGCTGAAAAGAGGAAGTCCCGCCTTTTTCAGGGCGCTCGAGAGTGCAATACAGGAAGTCCTGCCTTACTGATGGCAAGGAGAGGCAATTTAAGGGCAAAAGAAAATAAAAATAAAATAAAAAAGAGGGCTTTAAAGGGAGTCAGGTGGGGAGGCTCAGTGGGGCCCCCCTGCTGCATCCCTTCATGTTCTGGGTGACTGGGAACCAGAGAGGGGAATCGGTAGATACAGGATGACGACGGAGGTCCTCTAGTGTATTTTTGGGGGTGTCCTCCACAAGGAATCTCCCGCTCAGCCCCTCCCTGGATTCTGCATGAGGAAGCGACTGATCCTTTGCTGCGTGCTGTGTATACTGAGAATGTCTGTATAGCCGACAAAAAAAAAAAACAGGAAAAAATAATAATCCCTTCCCTAGAGTTTTCTACCGCCTGCCCCCACCCCGTCTCCTCCAGTGCTTTGCTCCGGCCTTGATCCGAAGACTTCCCTTCCCTACCCTGCCCTCTTCTCCCTCTTCTTCCTGGTTTGCCTTTTTGACTGGATATTTCTTATTTCGTGTCTTTGGGATTGACAAAAAAAAACCATTAAATAAGTCTTGCAGGAAAAAAATAATTTAATAAAAATATATTAATAAAAAGCTTGGAAACGGAAGGGTGTTTCATTTGGGGGAGCTATACCATGTGTAGTGATAACAGGCATATGTTTTAATTACACACCACCCCAATCTCGTGAGTGGCGTGAGATTCCAGGAGCACCAGGCATGCTTATCAGAGTCTGTGTTTCCTTTTGAACTTTTGAGGCGCAGCAGAGACTCTGGAGTCTTTATGATACATGGTTTTATTTACACTTACTGTATCTCCAGGGACGCGGGTGGCGCTGTGGGTAATAGCCTCAGCGCCTAGGGCTTGCTGATCGAAAGGTCGGTGGTTTGAATCCCCGCGGCGGGGTGCGCTCCCCTTGTTCGGTCCCAGCGCCTGCCAACCTAGCAGTTCGAAAGCACTCCCGGGTGCAAGTAGATAAATAGGGACCGCTTACTAGCGGGAAGGTGAACGGCGTTCCGTGTGCGGCTCTGGCTCGCCAGAGCAGCGATGTCACGCTGGCCACGTGACCCGGAAGTGTCTCCGGACAGCGCTGGCCCCTGGCCTCTTGAGTGAGATGGGCGCACAACCCTAGAGTCTGGCAAGACTGGCCCGTACGGGCAGGGGTACCTTTACCTTTTTTTTTTTACTGTATCTCCAACCTGAACCCTAGGATGCAGGGGCTTCCAGCATTACACCCCAAGAGGGTCCCCACAGATCAGTAATGTCATACACGATTTATGCTGTGCTTGCGATGTTCTATTAGGTAAAGGGACCCCTGACCATTAGGTCCAGTCGTGACCGACTCTGGGGTTGTGGCGTTCATCTCGCTTTATTGGCCGAGGGAGCCGGTGTACAGCTTCCGGGTCATGTGGCCAGCAGGACTAAGCCCCTTTTGGCAAACCAGAGCAGCGCACGGAAACGCCGTTTATTTTCCCACCGGAGCAGTACCTATTTATCTACTTGTACTTAGACATGCTTTCAAACTGCTAGGTGGGCAGGAGCAGGGACCGAGCAACGAGAGCTCACCCCGTCATGGGGATTCGAACCGCCGACCTTCTGATCGGCAAGTCCTAGGCTCTGTGGTTTAACCCACAGTGCCACCCACGTCCCTGATGTTCTATTACATCACTGTTATTTATTGTTAGTAAGCTGCTTTGGGATTCATATGAATGGAAAGCAGCATAGAAATTCAATCCATCCATCAAATCAGTGAAACCCACCAGCAGGTCCCATGCACAAGAACTCTCCTCTCCTGCAGTTTCCACAGAGGCAGAGCATAGCCAGCATGACTTGGTAGCCACCAGTAGCTCCCCGCTCTGTGAATTTGTGGAATCCTCTTATAAAGCCAGCCAGGTTGGGGCCAACACCGCTTCAGGTAGGAGTGAGTTCCATAGATTAACTATGTGCTGGATGAAGGATTTCCTCGATTCTTTCCCAAAATGCCCAACATTCAGGTTCAATGGATGTCCGTGAGTCCTAGTGTTACGGAGGGGACGGACTTTTAGCTACCCACTTTCTACATAACATACACAGTTCTATAAACTTCTATCGCATCCACTACTTACTCGCCTTTTCCCTCAATGACACCACCCCACCCCCCGCAAAAGCGGCAGTCTTTCCTCATAGGCGAGTCGCTCTATCTCCTTGGAACACTTTGATTGCTCTTCTGATTGTTTGGAGAACTTGCGAACGTTGGTACTCTTCGTTAGGTAAAAGGTAAAGGGACCCCTGACCATTAGGTCTAGTCATGGCCGACTCTGGGGTTGCGGCGCTCATCTCGCTTTATTGGCCGAGGGAACCGGCGTACAGCTTCTGGGTCATGTGGCCAGCATGACTAAGCCGCTTCTGGCGAACCAGAGCAGTGCACGGAAATGCTGTTTACCTTCCCGCCAGAGCGGTACCTATTTATCTACTTGCACTTTGACGTGCTTTTGAACTGCTAGGTTGGCAGGAGCAAGGACCGAGCAACGGGAGCTCACCCTGTCGCAGGGATTCGAACCGCTGACCTTCTGATTGGCAAATCCTAGGCTTTGTGGTTTAACCCACAGTGCTACCCGCGTCCCTCTTCGTTACAACACTATTATTACTTAAAAGGTACATATTATTAATAATTATTTCTGTACCGCCTTTCATCTGAGGATCGCAGGGCGGATTGCAATTTGAAAACACAAAAACACACCCTGTAGTGACAGACCAAAACGATACACGCAACACCATGAAACGGTTTAGAAGAGCAGACTTCTTATTTTCCAAAGGCCTGGGAGGAGAGGAACGCTTTTGCCTAGCGCCTAAAGATATGTAACAAAGGTGCCAGGCGAGCCTCCCTGCGGATTCCATATGCCACCTTTCACCTCAATATGGTATTTTTTTAAAAAAAGTTGGGGAGGAGGAGTGTGCCTTTGGGGATGAGGTCAAACTCGGAAGGTTGCAGCACAACCTGCTGTGGCTGTAGAGGCCACAAAATAATAACAAAAAACCAGAACATTTTGGTCGGTCTAATGAAGGTATTGCCCTAATGCGGATTTTGAGGCAATCCTTCCTATGGGCCAACCTGCCTACTTTTACCCCAGGCTGCTTCCTGCCACCTATTGCTCCACTCGCTTCAAGATGTGCCAAGGCAGCCAGCTGGGCGCCCTCCGCTCACTCGGCTGAACGGGAGCCCCGGGCCTGGGCCTTGCGGACGCCGGCCCTGCCAAGAGGTAAGCGCACAACAGCCCTGCAGTGTAGCCCACCGCCAGTATTGCAAGCCCTGAGCCCGGGCGGGGAGGCTTTGCGGCCCCTCCCCAAATAAAACCCCGCTCCAGGTTGTTGCAGCAGCAAAGGCAGCTCGGCTTGGCCGTTTCCTTCCCCCCCCCCGCGCCCCCCGGTCCGACCCAGAGCTCAGTTGCACGCACAAAACCCCGCGCCGACCCAGGCAGGGAGCCGCCTTCAGACGCGCAGGAGGCGGGGGGAACCCCGAAGAGCCGGAACTATTTATTTCCGCCAAGAAGGTTTCGGGGGCGGGTGGGAATGGGAAAGTCCGATGCACAAATCGCAGGTTTCTCCATGGGAGGGCAGTAGCCGCTTCCGCCAAGGGTCAGCGAAACCGGAAGCCCAGTGGAGGAGTTCCTGTCTAGAGGTTTGCTCCATGTCCGTGATTGGTGGGAGCGTCGCCGAGGAAGTGGGGGGCGTGGTCTAGTCCTCTAACCTGCTGCGGCGCTCTGGCCGCGTCTCTATGGCTGCGCTCTTAAAGACTCATGGAGAAGTCCCTGGGCTGCTCATATATTATATAACATTACAGAGAGATATTATAGAGTCCTGCTGGCTTCTCTTTCTCTCTCTCTCTCTCTCTCTTTGGCCAGCCGAAGGAGCTGTTCGACAGTGGAACAGACTCGCGCAAGAGGTGGTGGGCTGTCCTTCCTTGGAGCATACCCTCCAACATTTCTCCGATGAAAATAGGGACGTCCCATTCCTTAATGATTATTTTACTATTTATACCCCACTCATCTTTTTTGGGTTGCCCCAGCCACTCTGGACAGCTTCCAATATATTAAAAAAAAACCATAAAACATAAGAAAGCTGCAGAGATCTCGTTCAGCTTCTGTTTTCTGGAAGAAGGTACAGGGTTATAAAGACTAGAACAAGCCGCCTAAGAAACAGTTTCTATCCAAATGCGATTTTGGTTTTAAATGCAGTGTAAGTTAGTCTCTATGGGAGTATATTGTATTTAATTATGGGGTATCAAGAGTTTTTTGGGGGGTTTAAGCAGGCTGGGATAGCTGGCTTGTTGGTTTTTGAATGTCGGATGTAGATTTTTTCAATTTCGTTGTTCTGTATGGGACAATGGCAATAAAGATGATCGTATCGTAAACATTAAAAAAACTTCCCTATACAAGATTGCCTTCAAATGGCTCGGGGGTCAGATCTCCATGCCCTCCAAGATTTTGCCAATGAAAATAGTGATGTCCTAAGGAAAAGTGGGACCAAATCAGAAACCGGGACAATGTCCCTGGAAAATAGGGACGTCCCTGGAAAATAGGGACACTTGGAGGGTCTGTTGGAGGTTTTTAAGCAGAGGTTAGGTGGTCACCTGTCATGGATGCTTTTGCAGAGATTCCTGCATTGCAGGGGGGTTGGACTACAATTCTATGAGCCCTGAAGGCCAGAAGTCAGGAGGTCTGCAACCCACTGAAGGGCCACAGCGAGGCAGGAGAGCAACAGTTTCACCCTTCAGATCCTCTTGACAGCCAAAGGGCTGCTGCTGCTGTGGTGGTGTTTTGCCTGGCAAGGTTCTTGTGGCCTTTTTAACAGCTGCACGGCAGGCAGGCTTTCAACAGGGAAGATCCCCCTTTGGGAGCGAGGGAGTGAGGAAATTTAGGCATCTGCCGTTCCGCCTGTTGTGCAGAAGTGGAAGGCCGCTTCTGCTGAGAGAGCAGGTAGCCCAGGAGCATTCCACACATCTAAAGCACATTTGACGCACATTTAAAGCACACAATTTTCTGCCCTCACAAAGAATCCTGGGAACTGTAGTATGCTGACTGTGCTGGGAATTGTATCTCGGTGAGGGGTAAGCTACGTTTCCCAGGATTTACCGGGGGAAGCCACGTGGTTTAAATGTGCACTGGGTGTGTTTTTAAAGTGTTGTGGAGCTGCCTGTTGTTAGCAAATCAGAGACTTGCCTAGGGCATTTGAAACATAAGGTTTTGTGTCCATCCAAAGAATGTAAGAATAAACTTGCTGGACCAGACCAAAGGCCTCAGTTTTCCCCCAGTGTCTGATATTCAAAAATATCCTTCCTCTGGAGGGAAAGTCTGCATCTAGCTGTCATGCTAACTGACATCTTTATCCTCTAAGTATTTGTGAATGTACACCCAGCTAGTTCACATCTGCTTCTTATGCATGGCTATGCAGGATTTGGATCATATTCTCTAGTCCACCTGTGCCTTTTTAATGATATGTATATAATATTTATAAGTCCCCAACAAACTACAAGCTTTAAAAAAAAAAAATTCATTAAATATCACCATTAAGGTATGGTCTGTTCCCAGACTGGTGCTGTTTTGCATATGGAATTCGATCATAAACTGGCAAAGTCATGTTGCACAGTTAAAGTGGGTTTGGTACTCTTGCACAGCAAACTGCTCTCTTAAACAAGAAACAAAAACAAACTTCTTGCAGTACGGAAAGCTATGGCAAAATGAACTGGGAAGGAATGGATAAGGTTCACGTGGCACAATTTGTATAACCTCTGCACAAACAAATCAGGATGAATGCTCAATAAACAGGTTGTCTGAAAGATCCCTTCTTTGGCTCAAGGCGTATCTGTCTGTCAACAGATCCCTCCCTTCCGAAATAGCTTTAAACTTTGGCTAACTCTGCCCTAAAAAAAAAGGATCCGATTGAAAAAGTCCCTTTCTGGGTCTGGCCAGCAGAGGGCGCCCCTGGGTCCAGGTAGCCGCAGAAGTTCAGGTGAGTTTACCTGGCTGGTTAACAGACTGTTGTCCGGAAATGCAATAAGTTGACTAAGCAGAAGGGGAGGATAGAGGGGGCACCAGCTGCCCCTCTGTGTGTCCCCAAAATATCGTGAAACGAAGAAGAAACCGTGTGCAGTGAATCTCTGGACAGGTGAGGAGAGGACCAGAGAAAAGGAATGAATGAAAAATTAAGTGCTGGTGGGAGTTAAGATAAGGGGGTGATAATCCCCAAAGAGGGTGCTAACATGCAAGAGAGGGACTTTGGCTTCTGTGGGGGTGTCTGGTGGCCCACTAAATTTGCCTGCAGCTTATATGCATATGCAGATTCATTCAAAGTATGCACATTTTAAACTGTCCATCAAAGTGGAAGGAGGGGTTAAGGGAAAAGAGGAAGGGGAGAGAGTTTCACCGAAATATCTGAAAGGCTATGCTCAATTTAAATTCACAGTTGTGAGGGCTACACTGAAGAGGCAGTTTGAGGGCAGGGAGAGGCTGCTTTTTATGGTACAGGAGTGAAATTGGAGACTTGAGGTGGGCAGAAAAATATTGACTGAGCTTAAAGCCTCCACAAAGGGCTTTTGATTTCCAATCCGGAAATCGTCTGCAATAAGGGCCGCTTTACGGAAACAATTCAATTCTGTGCTTTCCACTGCAAATATGGATTAATCCTCTACTTCCCCATAAACGTGGAAAGAAAGTATTGGAGGGAGGGAAACCTTCGTTTTTACTACTCGTCAAAGGGTGTGAACTAATTTGCGTTAAGCGATTTAGACCTAGCGGCAGGTTGCTGGCATCCATTCCTAACAGGAAGCCTTGAGTCCAAACCCAAGGAATACAGGCACTCTGCACATTCTCAGAAGCAACCTGTTATTACTTCCTGTCTTTCGGGCTTGAGCTGAGGAGTAAGAGTTGAGGTTCCTGCAGGTGCCACGTGCCAAAGGCCGCCCCCCAAAAATTATTCCGCTCTTCACTTCCAGGATGCCGGAAGCACCTCTCACATTGCCGGTCCTGATCCGGACCATACGGAGTGCACGGACCCAGGCGGAGGAGCGGGAGCTGGTCCAACGAGAAAGCGCCAAGATTCGGGGGGCCTTTCGGGGAGACGAGCCCGACACCCGTGCCTCCAACTTAGCCAAGTTGCTCTACATCCACATTCTGGGCTATCCTGCTCATTTTGGACAGGTATACACCCGCACTGCATGTGGGGAACTGTAGTTTGTTAAGGGAGCTGGGGATTGTAGCTCTGTGAGGGGTAGACTACAGTTCCCATGATTCTTTGGGGGGGGGGGACCTTGGCTGTTAAAAGTGCTCCAAAAGTGTCCTAAGCGTGTTTTATTTATTTTATAAAATTTATACAGTGAAGGTCCCAGCTCCTGCCAACCTAGCAGTTCAAAAGCACGTAAAAATGCAAGTAGATAAATAGGTACCGCTCTGGTGGGAAGGTAAACGGTGTTTCCGTGCGCTGCTCTGGTTCGCCAGAAGCGGCTTAGTCATGCTGGCCACATGACCCGGAAGCTGTACGCTGGCTCCCTCGGCCAATAAAGCGAGATGAGCGCCGCAACCCCAGAGTTGGTCACGACTGGACCTAATGGTCAGGGGTCCCTTTACCTTTTTATACAGCACTTGATGTACAAAGTTCCACCCCCCTGCCCCCAAACTTACCTTCCTCACATGTCCTCGCAACAACCGTGTGAGGTAGTTTTAGGATAACAGATAATAATAATAATAATAATAATAATAATAATAATAATAATAATAATTTATTTATACCCCGCCCATCTGCCTGGGTTTCCCCAGCCACTCTGGTGGCTTCCAACAGACTCTGGGTGGCTTCCAACAGAATATTAAAACCTGTTAAACATTAAAAGCTTCCCTAAACAAGGCTGCCTTCAGATGTCTTCTAAAAGTCTTGTTTTTCTCTTTGACATCTGGTGGGAGGGCGTTCCACAGGGCGGGTGCCACTACCAAGAAGGCCACTACTGAGATGGTCAGTCAGTGAGCTTAATGGCCGAGTGAGGATTCGAACCCAGGTTCCATTTAGCTTCTTTAGCTAATGCACTTATAGTGACTTTATATGCAACTAACCCTCTGCTGATATTCCCAAATGCCGATCCCCACCGAACAGCAAGCCTTAAAGGTCCCAGTGGGATACACCCCCAACTAGAATGTTCTGGGATTTAGCCTGGGGGTTTAATCAATCGAAGGTTGTAGTTCTGGTGTAATCAATAATGGTGTGTTTCTTTCCTTATTCTGTCTTGAACCCAGATGGAGAGCTTGAAGCTAATGGCCTCCCACCGTTTCCACGAAAAGCGGATCGGCTACCTTGGCGCTGCCCTCCTATTGGATGAGAAGCAGGACACTCACCTTCTGCTGACCAATAGTATCAAGAAGTGAGGGATGAAACCAAAGAGTGTTTGTGGGGGGGGGGCAGAAAGAGAGAGTGGGTGCTCCCACACTGGACTAGTACAAATTTGGGAACTGAAAGCTATTATTTAGGGCAGATGTTTTCAGCCTTTTGGAATCCACGGCCTCCTTGACCAACTACGTTCTTTCTGGTCCTCTCCTCTCCCCTCTCTTTGGGGGTCCTCTGGGCAGCCGCTGCCGCCGCCCCTGCCCCAAAGACAGGCGCCTCCTCTCTCTGCCCCACAGGGGGCCTGGGAAGAGGATGCCCCCAGCCTTTACATCTTACTCAGCTTGGAAGGCAGTAGTGGCAGCAGCGGGCGCTGCCAGGCCTGCGTGGTGGAAAGACTCCCCTTCAGGACTGGGCACTCAGCTTCCAGGCAGGCATTGCATACAGCAAGCACAATAAAAGCCAGCATGGTGCCTGCCTCCCTGCCCAGCTTCCCACCTGCCGGTCCATTCCCAACAGCAATGGCTGGCAGACTGGCCGGCTTGGCTCCTCACCCGCTTGCTTGCTTACTTCAAGGCCGCCTCACCTCCTGGCAACCAGCACCCCAGAGCCAGCTTTCGCTTTTATTAGGGTTGCAACAAACAGCTGTGCAAGCCTTTGAGAGTCAGAAATGTGAGAGGACATCATAGGGGGGAGGGAAGGAAAGAGGGACAGAGGCCAGTGTTGCCCGCGGCACCCCTGACCACAAGTCAAGGCTCCTGGGGTTGCCGTGCTCATCTCGCTTTATTGGCCGAGGGAGCCGGCGTACAGCTTCCGGGTCCTGTGGCCAGCATGACTAAGCTGCTTCTGGCAAACCAGAGCAGTGCACGGAAACGCCATTTACCTTCCCGCCAGAGCGGTACCTATTTATCTACTTGCACTTTGATGTGTTTTCGAACTGCTAGGTTGGCAGGAGCAGGGACCGAGCAACGGGAGCTCACCCCGTCGCGGGGATTCGAACTGCCAACCTTCTGATTGGCACGTCCTAGGCTCTGTGGTTTAAACCCACAGCGCCACCCTCGTCCCTTATGATTTAGGGTTATACTGGGGGGGGGGGGAGAAACCAAGGCTACATTCACACCATGCATTTAAAGTGCTATGATACCATTTCAAACTGTCACGGCTTTCCCCAAAGGATCCTGGCAACTGTAGTTTTGTTAGGGGGGACAAGAGCTGTTTAGGAGACTCCTGTTCCCTTTCCGAAGCTATGGTTCTCAGAGTGGTTTAACATTCGGTCTGTCTTAAGATTGCCATTTTTCAAGAAGTAAAAAATCTGGACACAAAGTTGTTGAACTTTTTTTGGGGGGGGGAGATTTCCCAAACCGTTGTGGAGCTTTTTTGGGGAAATGAACCCCAAAGTTGTTGATCTTTTGCCGATTTTTCAGAATTCCCCCAGGACTCTAATTTCATCATTAGAATCCCGGACATGTCTGGGAAATTTGAGACGAGTGGCAACCCTAGTCTGTCTACCCTGGGAATTTTAGCTCTGGGGGGATAGGGGTTTTCCCACAATGCTCAGCAACCTTAGCAAACTACAGTTCCCATAATTCCAGGGGAAAGCTTTGTTACTAGACTGGTGACTGGGAGCAGCCGCTGAGACCACATAACACTTGAAAGACCTACACTGGCTCCCAGTACGTTTCCGAGCACAATTCAAAGTGTTGGTGCTGACCTTTAAAGCCCTAAATGGCCTCAAAGGCCCAATATACCTTAAGGAGCATCTCCACCCCTGTCATACTGCCCAGACACTGAGGTCCAGTGCTGAGGGCCTTCTGGCGGTTCCCTGGCTTCGAGAAGCCAAGTTACAGGGAACCAGGCAGAGGGCCTTCTCGGTGGTGGCACCCGCCCTCTGGAACGCCCTCCCACCAGATGTCAATGAGAAAAACAACTACCAGACTTTTAGAAGACATCTGGAGGCAGCCCTGTTTAGGGAAGCTTTTAATGTTTGATGCATTACTGTATTTTAATATTTTGTTGGAAGCCGCCCAGAGTGGCTGGGGAAACCCAGCCAGATGGGCGGGGTATAAATAATAAATTGTTGTTGTTTGAAGTGCTGTCCTAGCACCTTAAATGTACAGGTATCAACCTGGTATTTGGGAGTGTGGGCAATTCAGATGTGCTTCCAGTGAAGATCCTGGGAATCTAGTTGGAAGATTGGAGGATTTATAAGGAGGGGAAGGGACCTGCGCTATGGGCTCTGAAGGAATGGAGGGTGAGATTCAGAATCACAGAAATGTCGAGCTGGAAGGGACCCACAAGGGCCATCTAGACCAACCCCCTGCAATGAAGGAATCACAGCTAAGGAATCCCTGACAGATGGCCACCCAAACTCCGCTGAAAATCCTCCAAGGAAGGAGAGTCTGCCACCTTCTGTCTGTTCCACTCAAAACAACTCTTGAGGCTTGGGAAAAGACAGGTCAAGGGAGCTGGGTCGCTGGGGGTTCCTTGAAATGCAATATTGGGATACCAGCCATAATACGGCAGCTTAAAAGTCTTTCAAAACACCAGCCTTTCCTGCTGGTTAAAGATGGCGGCCATCGGTAGGTCTTGAGGGTTGAACGTGGGGAATGAGTAGTGTTATGTACTGAGTTGAATAGGATCCAAACTGCAGCAGTCTGATTGGTCCTAGAACAATAGGATCCAAAAGGCAGCAGTATGATTGGTTGGCAGGAACCACTCAATCATGCTCCAGATATAAGTGAATCCACAACCTGATTGGCTTACAGTAGAATTCCAGAATTAGCCAATCATGTGCAGCCCATTGTGTAAATAGTGTATATAAAGCAGATACTTTAAGGGGACATTCATTCATTCTTCCTCACCACTATGAGCTGAATGAAGAGCATGAAATCACTTTGCGACTCTGAGTATACAGTGGTGCCTCGCAAGACAAACGCCTCGCAAAACGAAAAACTCGCAAGACGAAAGAGTTTTCCATTTTTGAGTCGTTCCGCAAGACGAATTTCCCTATGGGCTTGCTTCGCAAGAAGAAAGCCCATAGGGAAATCTCCGGGGACCTCTTTTAAAATGCTGGCGGTCGGGAGCAAAGACTTTCGCCCACCGCCGGCCTTCAGAAGAGGTCCTGGACCTCTTCTGAAGGCCGGCAGGGGGCAAAAAGTCTTTGCTCCCCCCCGCCTGCCTTCCCGGGACGGCGGAGAAGTCTCCGCCGTCCCGGGGGCTTTTAAAATGCTGGCGGTCGGCAGCAAAGCCCTCCTGTCCCCGGAGCTTGCGGGGCGGGAGGTGGGGAGAAGGGCTTTTCTTCCCACCGCCAGCCTTCAGAACAGCCTTCTGAAGGCTGGTGGTGGGAAGAAAAGCCCTTGCCCCCCCCCCAGCCTTCAGAAGAGGTCGGGGGACAGACTGTCCCCGGACCTGGTCTGAAGGCGGTTTCCATAGGAACGCATTGATTGATTTTCAATGCATTCCTATGGGAAACCGTGCTTCGCAAGACAAAAAACTCGCAAGAAGAAAAAACTTGCGGAACGAATTAATTTCGTCTTGCGAGGCACCACTGTATTTCAAGTAGGAAGGAATATACGGGAGGTGGGATTTGTGTGCCTGAGGGAAGCTGTTCGGACAGGGGATGTGAATATTTGATAAACTGTTGCATCTTCCATTCACCTCACTTTCTTTTGCTCCCCGTAGCGACCTCCTGCACCCCACTGCCTGGGTGCAGGGCTTAGCTCTGAGCACGCTGGGCTCCCTGGGCTCGGTGGCCATGTTCCGGGATTTGGCCGGCGAAGTGGAGCAGCTCGCCAGGGTTGGCCAGCCCTCCGTGCGAAGGAAGGTGAGACCCCGCAGCTGGGATTTTTTCTTTAAAAAGCTGAGATTCCAATGATAGTAGTAGTAGTAATAATAATAATAATAATAATAATAATAATAATAATAAAAATTATTTATACCCCGCCCATCTGGCTGGGTTTCTCCAGCCACTCTAGGCAGCTTCCAACAGAATATTAAAATACAATAGTCTAATAACATTAAAACCTTCCCTAACCAGGGCTGCCTTCAGATGTCTTCTAAAAGTCTGGTAGTTGTTGTTCTCTTTGACATCTGGTGGGAGGGCGTTCCACAGGGCAGGTGCCACCACCGAGAAGGCCCTCTGCCTGGTTCCCTGTAACTTCGCTTCATGCAGTGAAGGAACTGCCAGAAGGCCCTCAGAGTTGGACCTCAATGAGGGTGGAGACGCTCCTTCAGGTATACTGGACCGAGGCCGTTTAGGGCTTTCAAGGTCAGCACCAACACTTTGAATTGTGCTCGGAAACGTACTGGGAGCCAGTGTAGGTCTTTCAAGACCGGTGTTATGTGGTCTCAGCGGCCACTCCCAGTCACCAGTCTCGCTGCCGCATTCTGGATTAGTTGTAGTTTCTGGGTCACCTTCAAAGGTAGCCCCACGTAGAGTGTATTGTAGCAGTCCAAGCGGGAGATAACTAGAGCATGCACCACTCTGGTGAGACAGTCCGCGGGCAGGGAGGGTCTCAGCCTGCAAGGCAGTTCCGTGGGGCACACTGGGACCCCCCCCCATAATCCTTTGCTCTTCCTCTGCTTCTAGGCCGTGGTCTGTGCTGTACACGTTGTCCGGAAGGTGCCCGATCTTATAGACGTATTCACTCGACTCGGCGAACACCTGTTGACTGAACAAAATACCGGTAAGTGCCTTTGTCCCTTCAGCTGGGGCTATGGGGACGCCTCTTCGCCCTCCCCGTCATGGCAAGGGAGGAGACCATCCTGGCCCTGCCCATTGGCCGGAAAAGAAGCTGCTGGGAGCCTTTCAGAAAGGGCTCTTGTAAGAACTTTGCAGTTAGTGCCTGAGTTTGCTTTTCTCCTTCTCCCTCCCAACCTCTTTTCCTTTTGTGTCGTGCCTCTTAAATTATAAGTCAGAGGGCAGGGAGCGTTTTATTACTGGACACTGTGTAAGCCATTCCGGAGGGCCTTTTTCTTTCTTTCTTTTGCTGACGAAGAGTTTAGGGCTGGGGGAGAAAGCTACTAATAAAGAAATAAGTCCCAGCTCGTGCGTGCTTGGATATTCTTTGGTTGCTCAGAACGCTTGAGCCGACCACTCCGTTCCAGAAGAGAAGGATTGATGCGAAGTGCGATGGCAGGGGGAGATTCTCCTCAGGGGTGTTTGATGATGAAGGTTGAGAGGACAGTTCAGAGGGGTATTCGACTCAGTTTTGCTCACGGTGAACCCACCGAAATTGATCGATATCAGTCAGGTCCGTTGATTTCAGTAGGGCTACTCTTTGCATGAGGGACGCGGGTGGCGCTGTGGGTTAAACCACAGAGCCTAGGACTTGCCGATCAGAAGGTCGGCGGTTCGAATCCCCAGGACGGGGTGAGCTCCCGTTGCTCGGTCCCTGCTCCTGCCAACCTAGCAGTTCGAAAGCACGAAGTGCAAGTAGATAAATAAGTACTGCTCCGGCAGGAAGGTAAACGGCGTTTCCGTGCGCTGCTCTGGTTCGCCAGAAGCGGCTTAGTCATGCTGGCCACATGACCCGGAAGCTGTATGCCGGCTCCCTCAGCCAATAAAGCGAGATGAGCGCCTCAACCGCAGAGTCGGCCACGACTGGACCTAACGGTCAGGGGTCCCTTCACCTTTACCTTTACTCTTTGCATGATTTGGATGAGTACCCCCCCCCCTTAGGAAGGGCAGACGAGGCCTGGAGGGACCCAGGAGGGAGTTTTTCCCCCAGAGAAGTGGATCTCAAGGAGCGATTTGAAGGAGATCTCAAGAAAACGCCGCTCTCCCATCACATTGAGGTGGTGCAGAGAAACCGGGATCTGGGGAGCCTTGGTGGGCCTGGGACTTGGGAAGGTAGGGGACGGGACTTAGGAAGTCAGGGCAGGATCTGCACCTGGCCTACCTGTCTCTCTCTCTCCCCCAGGCATCCTCCACGGGGCCGTCATGCTGATCTCAGAGATGTGCGAACGGAGCCCGCAAGCCCTGGACCGCTTTTGCAAGGTGGGGCAGCTGTCAGCTTGGCAACTCTCCCCGCATCCGTTGCAGTTAACGCACAAGGACTACGTGCCTTTTGAGCAGGGGAGGGTGGGGGAGGGCAAGCTGCTGCTAAAGGAGCCTGTGCCTTGCTTGCATTGAGTCCCGGGTTCAAGACCCGCATAGCAGGACTGGCTTGGCGTCCACCAGGAAATGGGGATGGGCCGCGGCAGACCAGAACATGCAACAAACCCAGGAAGGATCTGGCCCTTGAGATTCTCCTCGGGCCACACCCCCTCCCAAGCCACACCCCTTCACCCTCAGGACACACCCCTCCCAAGCCACACCCCTTCACCCTCAGGCCACGCCCCTTCCCAGCCTTGCTTGGCCCTCTTCTCCCGTGTTTCTGGCTGGAGCATATCCTTGAAATTTTGAGGATGACTCTCGCTTGCCTGGACGGGAGATAGGGAAGGGGGTGTGTGGAAGCCGGCCTACTGCAGAAAGGTAAAAATTGCATGTGTTGCTTTTGGCTCCCCCCATCAGTGGCATGCGGCCTGAAATATTCTTGGAGTCGAGAGTGGATTTCATGCTCTTTATTCAGCTCATAGTGGTGAGGAGGAATAATTGTTCCCCCAAAATATTTGCTTTATATACATTATTTACACAATGGGCCCCACGTCATTGGCTAATTCCGGGATTCTCCTGTCGGCCAATCAGGTTGTGGATTCACTTCCACCTGGAGCTGGATTGGGTGGCTCCTGCGGACCAATCGTACTGCTGCATTGTTCTAGGACCAATCAGACTGCTGCATTTTGGATCCCATTCAACTCAATTGCAGTTGCCCATGAGGGAATGTGGCCCTCAGAGTAAAAAATATTCCCCAGAAAAAACTGTTCATGTATGTGGCGACAGCTGTGCAGATGTTGCTAGCCCAGAAAGAAGACCAAGTCCCTAGCAGGGAAGAAGGCAGATTAAGTTGACGGACTCTGCCGAAATGGCAAAAATGACCTGAAAGGTCAGAAATCAGGGAGACCAAAATTTTAATAAGGAATGGGGGGAAATTATAATATACCTTGCAGACCACTTTAAACAGTTAAAATCGTCAGCGAGATTGCAATAACAGTTGTAATGTGACGTGAACTATGGATACATGGAGGGCGGTGGGAAATAATTTGGATCATCATAAAATATGCAGTAGAAAAAGCTTAATAATGGAACCCAGGGAGCGGAATGAGGGAAGTCCAAAGATTCGTGGGAATCTTGTATTTTCGGAAGGTGTGACTGTAAATTTTAATATGTAAAATCAAATAAATAAATTGGGAGGGCGGGAATAATGTTCCACAACCCCCCCCCAAAAAAAAACCAGAGGATGCCCTCCTAAACAACCTTACATGGGAGCAAGGCCCATTGAAGTCCACAGGTCTTACATGTATAATAGGGCGGTGCTGTCAGGAGGAATAAAAAACCAGAAGTTGCCTTGGTTTTGGAACTGATCAAAAGTGCTTTATGGATTGGAGGAGAAATTACCGTATTTTTCGCCCTATAGGGCGCACCAGCCCATGGGGCGCACCTAGGTTTTTTGGGGGGAAATAAAGAAACAAATTTTTATTTCCCCCCCGGGCATGGTGATGGGGCGGGGGAAGCCCGAGCTTCCCCCCCAGCCCCCAGAACAGGCTGCAATCCGCAAGCCTTGGGAGCCCGGCGGGAACTCCCGCCGGGCTCCCAAGGCTTGCGGATAGCTTCTTGAAGCCTGGAGAGCGAGAGGGGTCAGTGCACATCGACCCCTCTCGCTCTCCAGGCTTCAGCGAAAGCCTGCATTCGCCCCACAGGACGCACACACATTTCCCCTTCATTTTTGGAGGGGGGAAAGTGTGTCCTATAGGGCGAAAAATACGCTACCCAGCGCACAGGAAGGGGCATTGGGATTCCTGCGAGAGGGCATTGCGAGGAACAAGAGGCGGATGCTTTGTGAGGGATCTTCTACTAACCCTGCTTTTCTGTTCTCTTGTTTCCCTCCAGTTTGTTCCTCAGTTAGTGGGGCTGCTCCGTAACCTGGTGGTTGCCGGCTACTCTCCGGAACACAGCATCTCAGGAATCAGCAACCCTTTCCTGCAGGTAAAAGGATCTCCTCCCTCCAACCTCCCCTCATCCCCTGAACTTCTGTCTCACCTTTCTTTCCGCAATTCAAGAGAACCTGGAGTGCATTTAAGAATTGCTTCCCACAGAGAGTTTCAAGGGCACAAACACTGAGCGATTAAAAAAAAAACCAACAGGTATAAAAACAATTTCAAATCCAATTTACAGGTACAGGCTGGGACCCTTTTTTATCTTTTTAACTCCACTTAAAAGTTGGTTGGAAAAGGAAGGTCTTCGGCAAAGGAGCAGGGAAACAGCTAGCAATCCCAGAAGCCTTTGCAACTGCAATCCCGTCAGCCTTTGCACTGACCTCGGAGGTCTGTTGGGGTTTGAGAAAGGAGGTTTGGAGGGAGCAATTGTGGTGGGTTTATGGCAGAGGCTTACAGGCTTTTTAGTTGCCGTTCTTGGGCTCCATGATCACTGCAGATGGTGACAGCAGCCACGAAATTAAAAGACGCCTGCTTCTTGGGAGAAAGGCGATGACAAACCTAGACAGCATCTTAACAAGCAGAGAAATCACCTTGCCAACAAAGGTCCGTATAGTTCAAGCTATGGTTTTCCCAGTCGTGATGTATGGAAGTGAGAGCTGGACCATAAAGAAGGCTGATCGCCGATGAATGGATGCTTTTGAATTCTGGTGCTGGAGGAGACTCTTGAGAGTCCCATGGACTGCAAGAAGATCAGACCTCTCCATTCTGAAGGAAATCAGCCCTGAGTGCTCACTGGAAGGGCAGGTCCTGAAGCTGAGGCTCCAAGACTTTGGCCACCTCATGAGAAGAGAAGACTCCCTGGAAAAGACCCTGATGTTGGGAAAGATGGAGGGCACAAGGAGAAGGGGACGACGGAGGACGAGATGGTGGGACAGTGTTGTCGAAGCCACCAGCATGAGTTTGACCAAACTGCAGGAGGCAGTGGAAGACAGGAGTGCCTGGCGTGCTCTAGTCCAGGGGGTCACGAAGAGTCGGACACGACTAAACGACTAAACAACAGCAACAGTTGCCTTTTCACGTATACACGTGGTACGCAGGAATGTAAACCCCCTCCCGTAAGTGGGGAGACGTCTGTATTAGCCCGGACACCCCCGATCTCGACTGATCTTGGAAGCTAAGCAGGGTCAGGCCTGGTGAATACCTGGATGGGAGACCACCTGGGAATACCAGGCGCTGTAGCCTTGAGCCAGTGTGGATTAGTGGTTCATATGCTGGGAGACCAGAGTTCAAACGGTGATTCACCTTGCCAGGTGGCCTTGACCCATCACAGCGCCTCAGCCTAGCCTACCTCACAGGGTGGTTGTGAGGATAAAATGCTTGTGGGATACAAATAGGGTGAGACAATAAAATGTGGCTGGGCTTAGCATGGCTCCGTGACCAGAAGGGTGGAGAGTTTGACTGCTCAGCGACTGAGCTGAGGGAGAGAGTGGAGCTATCCTTCTCTTTGCCTCCTTTTAAAGTCACCTCCTCTTTAAAAATAAAAATAATTTATTATTTCTACCCCACAAATCTGGCTGGGTTTCCCCAGCCACTCCGGGCGGCTTCCAACAGAATATTAAAATATAATAGTTTATTAAACATTAAAAGCTTCCCTAAACAGGGCTCTACTTCATCCTCACCTCCCTGATAACATCTCTCCACCCAGGTACAGATCCTGCGGCTGCTAAGGATTCTGGGAAAGGACAACGAAGACGCCAGCGACGCCATGAACGATTCCTTGGCTCAGGTGAGCCCAACGGTTGTTGCTGGCACTGGAAAGAGTGCCCTGGGCGAGGGAGGGGAGACATTTAGAGGACTCTGGAGAACAGAGTTCACTTCACCATGAACAAAACGGGGGGTCCATTTAGCCTCCACGTTTCGATTGAAACTTTGCTAGGCCTGGTCTAGATTGTATGACCTAGAACCTGTTGTTAGCAAGAGCTGTACCATTTTGGGGAGGGGGGTTGCCGTCAGTGAAGAGGGAGGAAGAGACCAAGGTGAAGGCCTGCGGGGGGAGAGCGGGGCGGGGGAACGTCCCACGCCAAAAGCCAGCAAGGCTGCCAACCCCTCCGCTTCTTCCCAGGTGGCCACCAACACAGAGACAACGCGGAACGTGGGCAACGCCATCTTGTACGAGACGGTGCTGACCATCATGGGCGTCCGCTCGACCAGCGGCCTACGGGTATGGGGGATTCGTACGGGCCAGGTGGACTGGGCTGATCCTGCACCTCTTGCGTTCAGATCTTTTGGGAGGGTGTTGGGTTGTTTGGGTGCGAATGGAATATTCTGGGCGCCTCCTGGTGCGATGATGGCGCTTCCCATTTCTAGACCCCACATACGATCAAAACTGTATTGCATTCCCCTAGGGGGCGGGGAACATCAGGCCCCTGATATCAAAGCGGCGCTCCAGACCTCTCTGTTTGGCCCCAGAAGTCCTCTCCCCAACCCACACCATCCTCAGGTAGTTCTGCCTGACTGGAGAACCGCGATGATAAATCTCGCTTGCCTGGAAAGAGGATGGAAAGGTCTTTGGGGTCTGTGCGTCTGTTTCCATAAACCTTTGAGATTTGCGTGGCTCGGGTGCAACCTGTATCTGATAAGACCTGTATCTGTTGTTCTAGCCACTTCTGCCCACTTGCCGCCTCTGGTCTGCGGCCCCTGAAAGGTTGCTTTTGAGGGAATGCGGCCCCCAAGCCCCAAAGTCTTCCACATCCAGCTATCCCAAGCTAGAATCTGCTTGTTCTGAAGCTTTTCCGTTCTTCCTCTGCCCCCTCAGCTCATACAAATGGTACATTTTGGGAATTAAGGACACTTCTCTTTTCCACACCCAGGTTCTCGCTATAAATATCCTCGGGCGATTTCTCCTTAACAAGGACCGGAATATCAGGTACAGAAACCCCCACGAAACAAAGCAAGCACTGGAACGACCCAGATAGAGCTGTGGGGAAACGCCGGCCCAACAATCACCTGAAATTTTCCTGTCGGAATTTTGAAAATATATTTTGGGGCTGAGTCTCCTTATAACATGTTTCACCCTGGCTCCTTTTAAAACGCGGTGCTTGGTTCCTACAGAGGTTTTTAAGCAGAGCTTGGAAGGGCATCTGCCGTGCAGGATCTAGTCACGATTCCGGCATCGCCGGGGGTTGGACTAGATGACCCTCAGAACCCTTTATGATTCTTCGGTTCTGTGGCCTGACATCTTCTTCTCCAGCTTGGGACCACTGCAATTTGAGAAGAGGGTAGCATGTTGGAAGATGGCGTCTGCAATCAGGGGCCTCGAGTGGATTTTTGAACCCTAGTCTCCCAGGTCCTGGTCCGATGCTCTGGCCCCCGACCCACACCGGCCCACAGCGCATAGGGCTGCGTTGTCACAACCCTCGACTCGCCTTCCTCACCGGCATTGCAGACCCCTTGTTTCCCCTTCATGATCTGCCCCCTTCTCCTAATTCTTTGAGGCCCGTTCTGTAGACGACGGTCTTGGAAAGGGAGCGTGCCCAGAGACCCTCAAGTTCCCTCATGAGTTGCCGCCAATGGCCTCACGGCTGAGGGAAAATGAGGGACGGAGGCGATTCCTCAAATATCTCCCCACCCTCAAGACAAGCAGCCACCCCTTTTCCACAGTGCATGAGAAGCAGCTGCGCGATAACTCGGCCTATTAAAATGCATCCTCAGGGGCGCGGCGCTTCTTTTCTTCCCCGGTGAAACAGTGCGTGAAATTAATTTGCCACACGCTTAATTCAGATTTGCTCGGATCTCCCGGCCGCCCTGACAGAGGTTGTTTTAGGGCCTCACCGGCCGCCATTTTGGCTACCCATGCCACAGTCGCCCATTTCCCCTCGTTTCCCACCCGGCAGTGTCCCCTTTCCATCTTGAAGCAAATCAAAGAGAAATGTTTCTGACTTCCTTGGCTGCGGACGGTCTTCTTTGTGCCGCTTCCCTGGTTAAAGGGCCTGGGAGACCGGGGTTCGAATTCCTGCTCGGCCATGAAGCATTCTAGGTGGCCTTGGGCCCCAGCCGCCCTTCTCTCAGCCTATCCCACCTCGCAGGGTTATTGTGAGGATAAAACAGCGAGGGCGAAGGATAGCCCCGAGCGCTTGGAAGGAAACACAGGATGTAAATGTGATGGATTAAGCTCTCCTCCTCTCCCTCTCAAGATGTGATTTATTTATTTTTCTCTTGTCGGGGGGAATCTTCCCTTTAGATACGTGGCTCTAACATCTCTACAGAAATTGCTGCAAGAAGAGAACAGTGCCGTTCAGAGGCACCGGGCCACAGTCCTTGAATGCCTGGCCGACCCGGATCCCACTGTGAAGAGGTGAGACTGTGATAGGAATTTTGAGGTCTTAGATATATGGTAATGTTCATAACCGCACATACATAGATCAGCACAGGAAGACCGACCTGAAGTCATTTTGATTCCTAAACTGAGCAAATGTTTTCTCTGCAAGGTCAAAGTGGGAAACCTCCCATTGGCTTTTCCTTCACAAATCCTGTCTTAAGGGTATGTCTGTGTTTGAATAGGGTCAAAACAAAAAAAATTCCTTCCAGTAGCACCTTAAAGACCAACTAAGTTAGTTCTTGGTATGAGCTTTCGTGTGCATGCACACTTCTTCAGATACACGCACACGAAAGCTCATACCAAGAACTAACTTAGTTGGTCTTTAAGGTGCTACTGGAAGGAATTTTTTTTGTTTTGACTATGGCAGACCAACACGGCTACCTATCTGTAATTTGAATAGGGTGTGAGCCTGTGACCTGGCCCAGGAACTAAGTATTTATCATTACAAAAGACTGGACAGGCTCCCCTGGCAATCCAATCAAGTAACCTGCCAGACAGGAGATAAACAAGGACAGGAGAAAAACAACATTCAAATTTCTGTTTTAGACCGCCTTTTCTGTGATGTAGGTGCGATGTATCTGAGGGGTGGTCTTAGGTTACACCCATTCTGTGATGTATGTATGATGTTTCTGGGGGTGGTCTTGATCTACAGGGTGGCAATTTCAAAAGTCTTTATAAGGCCTTGCATGCCATTTTTCTGGGTTCCTCCTCCTCTCCTGCGAGTGAGGGGAGCACCCTGTTGCAACAGATCAATAAAGATCAAGCTTACTAACTGCTTTGCTTCTCAATATCCTCTGGTTGGCCTCTGTTATTCTCTCCTACCAATAAGGAACCTATGTAAGGACTCTATATGGGCTCTTGGATAGCCCATAAGGGAAAAGGGCAATTTTTGTTTACAACAAGACAAGGGGGAAAGACAGGGCCGAGGTTCCGGGAGACGATGTCTCTGAGTCAGGAGAATTCCTCGCTTCTCCCTCCTTAGAATCATAGAATCATAGAATCCTAGAGTTGGAAGAGACCACAAGGGCCATCGAGTCCAACCCCCTGCCAGGCAGGAAACACCATCAGAGCACTCCTGACATATGGTTGTCAAGCCTCTGCTTAAAGACCTCCAAAGAAGGAGACTCCACCACACTCCTTGGCAGCAAATTCCACTGTCAAACAGCTCTTACTGTCAGGAAGTTCTTCCTAATGTTGAGGTGGAATCTTCTTTCTTGTAGTTTGGATCCATTGCTCCGTGTCCGCTTCTCTGGAGCAGCAGAAAACAACCTTTCACCCTCCTCTATGTGACATCCTTTTATATATTTGAACATGGCTATCATATCACCCCTTAACCTCCTCTTCTCTCCTCCTTCCTCAGGCGAGCCCTGCAGCTGAGCCTGGCCCTGGTGAGCGGCAGCAACGTGAGGACGACCACGAAAGAGCTGCTGGTTTTCCTGGAAACCTGTGCTCCGGAGCTGAAGTCGGACTGCGCTTCTGGAATATTCCTGGCCGCTGAGAAGTGAGTCGGGTCCGGCTGTTGCCCGTGGGGGGCGTTGTAGAGAAATCCAGGGCAGGGTTTTTTGGGGGGGCGCATGTTGAATTTTGCAGCTTTTGAATTCGTGCCTCGAAGGGCGCTCATGGCAGAACAAGAGACTCTTAATCTTAGGGTCGTTGGGCAAAAGATTCCTGCCGCTCTACAGTTCTGTGACCTAAGACTTGGGAATTCAAAAGATGTCTTGGTTAAATTCATAAGATTTAGTTTTCCTTGGTAAGTGAAACACGTGTAAAATTGCACAGAAATAATTAAAAACGAGCGCTTGCAGTTATATTATACAGCACATTAAAAAAAATATTGTTCATTCTTATTATTATTTAGCATTACCTGACATTTTCAGAAGGCGAAATTAAAGTCTTTGGTTTTCTGAGAAAGCAGTTTATGTGCTTTCTAATCAAACGTAGATTCGCCAAGCTGAATGTTGTCCCACCACAAAAATAATAGCAGATTTGAATTCCTCACACCCAAAAACGTATTTTTAAGGCCCTCCCTTCCTGAAGAAATTAGCAAAAATTAAGTTCCACCCCTTAAATTGACATGCTCTGACAGTGTGAGGGGCACTTTCAGGCAGAGCAATAGGTCTAAAGACATTCCTGCCTTTCTCATTTTCTTCCCCCACCTACTTCAGGTTTGCGCCCAGCAAGCGTTGGCACATCGACACCATCCTCCAGGTTCTGACCATGGTAAGATGGAGGCTGGGGTGGGGGCTAGGATCCTTGGGGAGCAGCGGAAAGCTGCGTGGCTCAAGGAAGGGCCTTCCTCTCGCAAGGGGTTGTGTTTGAAGAAGCTTCTCCACCATCTGGACTAGAAACTTTCTTCTTTTCTTTTGGGAGAGGCAAGAAACAGAAAGCTGACATTCTCAGGCACCCAAAACACCCCCTACTATGAACATTTTTCAGGCTTTAATATTTATTTTCCTCTCCCTGTTTCCAGCACCCATTGAAACTGCCATTCTAGGTGTGTTGAAAAAGTGAGTTTCAAGGCCCTCCCCCCCTTCACATAGAGCCCACCAATAGCAGCCCAGATTCCTCAGAGTGCCTTCAGAGCCGAGTCCTTGGTAGTTTGGGCTTGTGTAGAGGAGGAGGAATCTGTTGAACCCTTTTTAAGGGAAGGAAGGGCCAAGCAGAGACGTATCTCTGAGAAGGAGCGTAGCTCACACCCCCGGTTCCTCTCCTTACTCTCTGCAGGCTGGATCCTATGTACGTGACGACGCGGTGCCCAACCTCATCCACCTCATCGGAGGTGCAAAGGAGCTTCACGGCTATGCGGTTCAGCAGCTATACAAGGCCCTGACCCAAGATATCTCTCAGGTATGAGATTGGGGAGGGGGGTGATGGGGGAGCAGGGCATAGAGAACCAGAAGAGGAAGAGTGAGGCTATGTATCCTGTGCCCACTTACTTGCAAGTGAGTTCCACTCAAAGTTTTTTATTAACTGAACAGAATTTCTATAATGCTTAGCATCGAAACCTCTAAGCTCTTCTTCTTCCTATACACATAGAAATGTAAGGCTGTCGTCACACTGCACTTATCAATATTGGGCCAGTTGTTGTCTCTTAGCTAACCTACGTCACAGGATTGTTGTGGGGGAGGAGAACCACATGCACTACCTTGAGCTCCTTGGGAGAAAATATAAATGTAATAAATAATAATAAAATAACGTGGGAGGTTTTTTTTTAAGAGGATGTGAAAGGTTGGCAAGCAGAGTTAGCAGAGGCAGCAGATCCCAGTAGAAGACATTCAAATTACCCATAAAATTATATATTAAAAACAAGTCCCCCTAAAAGAAATCCACCCTTCAGAATTGCATATTAAAATGCACGTCAAATGTACAGGTTTGTAGGCTTGCTTAACCGAAAAGCCTTTTCAGCTGGAGCCCTCCCTCTCTCTTTTTCCCCTCCCAGCAACCCTTGGTCCAGGTGGCTACCTGGTGCATCGGTGAATACGGCAACCTCTTATTGGACGGCAGCTGTGAAGAGGTGGAGCCCACTCAGGTGAGGAGTCAGAAACTGAGGGTGGGCATTGTGTGGGGAACATTGAGCGGGGGAAGTTTGCTCAAACCACCCCCCGGGGGAAAAACACCCCACTTCATTATGGCTTTTCCTCCTCCTCCTTTCTCCACTTTCCCCCCACTGCGGCAGGTGGACCCAGAGGAAATGGTCTCCATGTTGGAGCGAGTGCTGCAGTCGCACCTCTCGCTGCCGGGCACCAGGGCCTACGCCCTCACCGCCCTCATGAAGCTCGGGACCCGTCTCCAGGGCAGCGACATCAAGTGAGCTCACAGCCAGCATCCCCACCCTCAGGCCGCGAAGGCACCATAACCTGCAAAGCACACCAATTCCCCCGTGGAACCCTGGGAGTTGTAGTTTTGAGCTGCAACTCCCAGCACCCTTAGCAAACAAAGGTCCCCAGGATTCTTTGGGAGGGGTGGGGAATTGTGTGCTTGGTTTAGGCTCGCAGCCTCAATGTCCCCTTTCCTAAGACAGGACTCAGGGGCAGGGGTGGACGTAATAATAATAATAATTTATTATTTATTATTTATACCCCGCCCGTCTGGCTGGGTTTCCCCAGCTACTCTGGGCGGCTTCCAACAAAATATTAAAATACAATACAGGGGTACCTCGGGTTAAGTACTTAATTCGTTCCGGAGGTCCATTCTTAACCTGAAACTGTTCTTAACCTGAAGCACCACTTTAGCTAATGGGGCCTCCTGCTGCCGCTGCGCCGCCAGAGCACGATTTCTGTTCTTATCCTGAAGCAAAGTTCTTAACCCGAGGTACTATTTCTGGGTTAGCAGAGTCTGAAGTGTATGTAACCTGAAGCGTATGTAACCCAAGGTATCACTGTAGTCTATTAAACATTAAAACGTTGGTGATCTTTGGGAACCGACGGAATTCAAATGCCAAGGAGATTCTGACTTAAAACATAAGGATGAGCCTTCTGACGGCAAGAGCTGTTTGGCAGGGGAAAGGACTCCCCCAGAAGGCAGTGGGCTCTCCTTCATTGCAGGTTTTGGAAACAGAGGTGGGCCATCTGTCAGGGATTCCGCGATTTCTGCGTTGCAGGCGGGTTGGGCTAGATGACCCCTGGGTTCCCTTCCAACGCTACAATCCTGCGACTCTACGGTTGGCAGGGTGTAGCAGTGGCAAGCGTTGGACCATCCTGTGAGGCCTTTTGAATTGATTTGCCTCTGTAATATTTCCCGCCTCATCCTGCGTCCCGCTTCTCTGCCCGAAGCAGAGGCAGCTCGTAACCTCTTCCCCTCAATTCTTTTTCCTGCTCCGTGCGCCCTGAGAAGTCGGATCCGGAGCCTGGTTTCCATTTACTGCAGCTGCCACGACGTGGAGCTCCAGCAGCGGGCGGTCGAGTACAACGCCCTCTTCCGGAAGTACGACCACCTCAGGTACTCCTGGCAAAGACAGGCGCCTGAAACTGCTCTCGTTCTCAGGTGCTCTGCATATTCTGACCTCCTGTGTGGGCCCTTCCATTCACACAACACCCATTTTTTAGCTAGCTTCCTCCATTTCACCCCGTCCAAGTTCGAGAGCTGAAAACTTTGCTCCGAATGGTCTTCTGCCTTGACAGACTTTGCAAAAATTATTTGTGGGTGCTCATGGGAAGCCTTCAGCGGCTAAACCTCCTTGGACGAACGTCAGTACCCAAATCTGGTTTGGAAACCTTTATTCCTGACACCCAGGTCATAGGATGGGTGAGGAGGGTTGACGGCAGAAACAGCCTTGCCAAGTCACCGGCAGATAAAATCTCTCTCCTACCCTGCTTCCCCACTCTCTTGCCAAGTAAAGGTAAAGGGACCTCTGACCATTCGGTCCAGTCATGACCAACTCTGGGGTTGCGGTGCTCATCTCGCTTTATTAGCCAAGGGAGCCGGCGTACAGCTTCCGGGTCATGTGGCCAGCATGACTAAGCCGCTTCTGGCGAACCAGAGCAGTGCACGGAAACGCCGTTTACCTTCCCACCAGAGTGGTACCTATTTATCTACTTGCACTTTGACGTGCTTTTGAACTGCTAGGTTGGCAGGAGCAGGGACTGAGCAACAGGAGCTCACCCTGTCGTAGGGATTCGAACCGCCGACCTTCTGATCGGCAAATCCTAGGCTCCGTGGTTTAACCCACAGCGCCACCCACATCCCATCTCTTGCCAAATAAATCCCCACAAAAGGCCTGTATCTCTCAATTTTGTTCCTTTCTTCCTGCCAGAGCATCCGTCCTGGAGAAGATGCCCTTAGTCGACAAAACTGGCTACGCCGAGGAAGGAAGTGAAAAAGAGCAGAATGGAAGAGAGGCCGCTGTTGCTCCTCAAATCCTGGAGGTGGCGCCAGTGCCCAGCGACGTCCAGCAACAGGACTCTGGCCAGGTGGGGAATTGCTTTGCCAAGCGGTTGGCACCAGGGGGCACTTGGGAGCAGGGCAAACCCCAAACTTGACGGCAAGGTGACATTTTGGAGCAGGGAGCAGCCGTAATCCAGGATTACCAATTCCAAATAAGGATTTGATTTTCAGAGCCATGGCCAGTCTGTGCTTCCCCTAGACTGGCAGCAACACAGCAGAACCCAAACATAATGCTGGATTTTGAAGAGCCCAGCTGTTAATTTGGCCCACCTCCTTTTATAAACCGGAATCCTGTATCATCTCAGCTCTTTCCTTAGACGAATCAGTTCGGTGGACAGAGAGCTTGTTGCTGCGCCACAGAAAAGCTGAACTGGAACCGAACCGGGTTGGTGGGGGTGAAACCTGAACACAAGCCTTGATTTTTAAAGGAGGCATTTCCAGAGTGCAGCTTGTGAACCACCTGCGGCCCGTGAGCCTCATCCATGCAGTCCGTGGCAGAAATATTTAATTAATCAATTTTAAATAATGGTTTTATTGTTTATATGCCTCCCAGCTGACTGGCTTGCTTCCACATCTAGCACAGAACATAAAAATGGCTAAACCACTGGCTGAAAAACAACTAAGTGACCCACCAAGACTTTCAGCAATTTTTAAGTGGTCTGAACACCCACAGCCCTATTTTAATGTGCCCCCCCCCAGCAGTTTCTGTTGCCTCTCCTTTCCCAGATTATCACTGCATGCCTTTGCCAGAGCTCTCTGCACTGGTGCCCCGTGATGGGAATCCCCCCCCCCACCCTCGCCATCTCCTCTTCAACACTCCCTTGCTTCCCTTGTAGGTCTCTGATCTTTTGGATCTCCTTGGAGGCCCCGCAGATCCCCCTCTAGCCCAGCCCACCACCCCGGCAGTGGAATCCTTCCTCGATTTCCTTGGCGATCTGAAAGCCCCAGGTATGTTGACCTAAGAGCTCTTTGCTGGTGGGGAGGCAGCTGCTTGCTTTTTGCGGCTCGATTCTTGCCAAGACCCTTTCAGGCGAGTCTGCAAAGGACAAGCCCACCCCCCAATATCCTTTCATTCAATCACTGCCCTCTGGGGGCTTTCCAGACAGATGAAATAAAGTAAAGAGAGCTCATTTATCCACCTCACGTGGGCATTTCTGAGCAAAAGCACTGCCCCCCTTTAACAACAGCTGTAGCGCTCTTCTTGTGTTTTAACAACGAGCACTAAAATATACCTGTATACCTGAAGGAGAGTCTCCACCCCATCGTTCAGCCCGGACACTGAAGTCCAGCTCCGAGGGCCTTCTGGCGGTTCACTCCCTGTGAGAAGTGAGCTTGCAGGGAACCAGGCAGAGGGTCTTCTCGGTGGTGGCACCCGCCCTGTGGAACGCCCTCCCTTCAGATGTCAAGGAAATAAACAACTACCTGACTTTTAGAAGACATCTGAAGGCAGCCCTGTTTAGGGAAGCTTTTAATGTTTGATGTTTTATCCTGTTTTAATATTCTGTTGGGAGCCGCACAGAGTGGCTGAGGTAACCCAGTCAGGTGGGCAGGGAATAAGAAATAATAATAATGAATATTATTAGGGCTTTTTTCAGCTGGAACTCAGTTCCGGCATTTCCAGGTGGGCATCACTGCCATTCTAAGAGAAGGAGGGAGGTGTTTGTGATGAGTTCGGCTCCTTTTTTCCTAGAAAAATAGCACTTCTTATTATTATTACTATTATTATTATTGAAAGCTGCTCTGTTTTGAGTAATGCAACAAAGGGAAAGCTACAGGGTCCAATGAAACCCCTTCTATGAATGGCACTCATAGCATTTCCAGAGAAAAATACAGAAGAGACCAGGCTGCTCCCTGCTTAGCCATGTGGGCCACATATTATTGTGAATGGTCAAAAGAGTCCTCTTCCTTCAGGGGGACCCAAAAGCCACAGCCTCTGAGCTGGAAGGTCCCAGTCCCAGTCCTGTGTACGCTGCCTGGGGTTACTCAGGCGAGGGCAAGGCCCTTTGCACATGCTCAGGTGTGCCCTGGCTTGGCATGGCTCTGGGACTTCTGTACCTCACGGGGTGGTTGGCCAGGGGGAGCTAGACTTAGCTGGCCACCCTTCCCTCCCTGCAGCCTCCGCCATCGCCCGCATGATTGTGTACGAACAAGACGGCCTGCTGGTCGAATTTTCCATGGACCGGCCGCCGCTGGAGCCCACGTTGCTGCTCATCACGGCCACCGTCTCCAACAGGACCCCCCACGACGTGGCCGGGTTTTGTCTGCAAGTGGCCGTCCCCAAGGTGAGGCCCCAGGTGGCTTTAGAAGAGTGTTGGAGAGCCAGTGTGGTGTAGTGGTTAAGAGCGGTAGTCTTGTAATCTGGGGAACTGGGTTCACGTCTCCGCTCCGCGTCTCCACATGCAGCTGCTGGGTGACCTTGGGCCAGTCACACTTCTTTGAAGTCTCTCAGCCCCACTCACCTCACAGAGTGTTTGTTGTGGGGGAGGAAGGGAAAGGAGAATGTTAGCCGCTTTGAGACTCCCTAGGGTAGTGATAAAGTGGGATATCAAATCCAAACTCTTCTTCTTCTTCTTGGGCGAGGTCGCAGAGGAGGCCATGAGCCACAGCGGCCGCGATGCTTCTGAATTTGAGTTGCCAGGAATCACAACTGAGGAGGGCCCGCTGCGGCCGTGGGGTCTTGCTTGTGGGCTTCCTCAGTGGGGCATCTGCTGGGCCCCGGGAGAAGAGGATGCTGGGATAGATGGGGACCCCCTTGGCCTCACCCAGCAGCCAAGAAAATCTACTGATGTTCTTTAAGAAGTGGGGCAGCCTCCTTTATGCTCCTCCTAGTGCCAGAGGCCAACAGGGTCACCCAGCCAAGGGTTTCTGGGCAGGCAAAAGGAAGCACCGTATTTTTCGCTCCATAAGACGCACCAGACCACAAGACGCACCTAGTTTTTGGAGGAGGAAAACAAGAAAAAAAAATATTCTGAATCTCAGAAGCCAGAACAACAAGAGGGATCGCTGTGCAGTGAAAGCAGCAATCCCTCTTACTGTTCTGGCTTCGGGGATAGCTGCGCAGCCTGCATTCGCTCCATAAGATGCACACACATTTCCCCTTACTTCTTAGGAGGGAAAAAGTGAGTTATAGAGCAAAAATATGGCAATTCTTTACACGAACTATGGAACTCACTGCCACAGGAGGAAGCATGGCCAACTTGGAGGAGGGTTTAAAAGAGGATCATACAAAGGGATAAGGCTGTCAGCCATGATGTTTTAAATTGCAAATGAAATCCTTTGGCAGGGCAGGGAGGGAGAAAGCAGGAAGGGAAACAGCCCTGGGTTTTGCAGGGGTCAACAACTTATTTCTTTTCTTTTTTTTATGATACACATTGTTTGGACTTTCGCCTGCTCCTCTTCTGACAGTCCTTCCAAGTGGAGCTGCTGGCCCCGAGTGGCTCTACAGTCCCAGGCCAGGGTGGGCCCCCCATCACCCAGCTCATCCGAGTATTGAACCCCAAAAAGGTAAGAAGAGGGAGAGGAGGGATATACGTGTGGCCAGAGAGTGGGAATTAACCTGTGATCTGAGCAGCGATGTCATTTCCTGCCTGGCCATCGCTTAAAGCAGGTGGTGACATCACTTCCTCTACTCATGTGAAGCGACGTGCAGAGACTCTATTGCTTAAGCTTCCTGCGGGCCACTTCTGTTGGCAGCATCCGAAGGATGTTTCCCGCAGAAAACAGGAAGTGGCACCGTCACGCTCCCACATCACAAAGACAGCGGTGATGTCACTTCCTCCTCTGCCCTCACTGGTTGACTTCACCTTGGTTAGCGTAACAGGCACCAGGGTGATGTCACTTCCTGTTCCTTCAAGGGGGGTACTCTCCAGCAGTCTCAGCCGCCCGAATTCGCTCTCTTTCCCCATTTAACACAACACACGTCGCCCTCACTCTTCCAGCAACACTAAGGACTAGCGGCTTAGCTCTCGTAAAAATGGAATGAACGCTGGGGTTTCCGCAGCATCGAATCCAGAGCTTTCTGTTTTGCAGAATGCAGCTTTTAATGTTTGCAAGCAGAGATTATACACCCAGCGTCAAGTAAGTCTTATCCCTTTCTGATTCCAGCTCCCGCTCCGCATGAGGTTACGACTTGCCTACACTCTGCCCTCTGGAGCACTGGTGCAACAGATCAAGGAAATCAACTCATTCCCCGAGGCTGCCTGGAAATGAAGAGCGAGCGGCCCACTGTACCCCTCCCTCCTTGACGGTCCCCCTAAAATGCACTCCACTCCGAGGGAAGGGGTGGGGTGGAGAAAAACCCTTGCAATGACACCATCTCACCACCAGGTGGGGCCTTTGCTCCAGGTGGGTGCCCCAAATAACAACACCCATGGGTGCTCCCCTTTTGCACAGGCGGAAGGGCAGAGGGCACCTCTCTCGCCGGATCCAAAGAGGGATTTCCGAAAGAGGGAGGCGGGAGGGAGAAGGGGAATCCCCGTCTCAGCCAGCCCCCTTTCTCCCTCCTCACTCCCAGCTGCTGGCAGATCAATTCAATTGATCAGCCAGATGGGGGAAACTCCACAACAACTGAGCGAGACTAAATGGAAATCGATGGAGATAAAGAGTGGGTTGGGGGGTGGAGGGGGAAAGCCCTCTTTAACAAAAACAAACACAAACACCAGCTATCCCTCTTCATTGCCGGATTGGGTTTTTTCACCTCTGGCCATACTGCTGGTAGGTCCGACAAACCTCCCCTCCAGACGCCAGCTGGCCCCAGCGAGAGCGACGCTGCGGTTGATGCACCCTGAGAGTAGTGCAAGAACCACTCCAGGGAAGCCCTGTCTTAGCATTCTGTCGGGCGCTGTTACACTACGTAGGGGCAGTGAGTTCCGCAGATCCACAATATGTGGCACCCTCCAGATGGGGCTGCTGGAATTGGCAGCCCCAAGCCCCTGGGTTGTGGGTGTGTTCCAGCTTGGGCGAGGCCACACTGCGTACCCCTCACACTTCCTTTCTCTCTCCCAGCACCCCCATCTCTCAAACCTGCCCCCTGCCGCTCTCCATCGAACGGCCTTTGAGCTTTCGGCGTGAATAAATATCTTCTCAATGCATTCTCCGCTCTTGTGTAACAGGGCAAACGCCTGGCTGTTTCGCAGCAGGGCGCCCCTCTGCCCAGGCCCGGCTGCTATTGGCTGACCTGCTGTGATGTCACGCAAGTCTCCCGACTGCCGCGGGGTGTCGAAAGCCATTCCAGATGTTGGGAGGAGTTGGAAGGTTTGGCAGAGGGGGAAGAAAGGAGGGGTGGGTGGGAGGAACATGGTCCGAATTGTCCTCTCGGTTCAGGTAGCGGACTTTCTTTCTTGCCCGAAGCGTAGCCTCCAGCCCCAGTCAGTTCCCCTCCTCATCCGTTGCAGCTCTCACTTTCCTCAGCGACCCAGCTCTCATGAGGGCCTCGTAGTGCGCTGGTCTGAATTTACACAGGTAGACAGACATCTTGCCAGGAATCGGGGATTTCATATCCAGGCCTGCCGGGGAGACCAGAAAGAGAGGAGAAGGTTAATTCGGCAACAGGGCGAGACCCGGAACGGAATTACAAACCCATCCAAACATCCTTCGGATGTAGAGGACTAAGCATCAAGCAGTTCTCGTTTGTCTTTTGTACTTTAAAAAAATATTTTGAGGGGTGCTTAAGAAGAGGGAGAAAAGTCTCGTTAATCAGGCCCCACCCAAGGGAGGGAGCCCCATCTCCAGTGTCCTACAGCCACACAAGAAGCATGAAAACAGAGTTTTTTAGCCCCTGAGGATAGGCTCCTGGGGTCACTCTGCAGAAGGCGCACACGGAGCTGTTCTGTATCCTGTGTGCAAGTTTATAGAATCACAGACTTGGAAGAGACCCCAAGGATCATCTAGTCCAACCCGAATTTGCAGCTGTCCCATACAGGGATCGAACCTAAAACCTTGGCGTTCTCAGCACCGCGCACCAACCAACTGAGCTATTCTATTATGTACAATGGAACCTCACGAAAAACACCACTCGAGCCACCCTGGAAGAAAGTTCCGGAGCACTCCAAATGGTCTGCCTGGGCCCAGAAAACAGTAGATCTAGCTTAGAAGGCAACATGCGGAGATCTGCACCCATTGTTGCGATGCACCCCCCGATTATAATTACAAGATTATGGTATGATCTTAGAAGCTGTGACTTTCACAGAGGGGACCCTGCATTTCTGAATCTGCCACTAAACTACCGTATTTTTCACTCTATAAGAGGCACCAGACCACAAGACGCACTTAGTTTTTGGAGGAGGAAAACAAGAAGAAAAAAATACTGAATCCCAGAAGCCAGAACAGCAAGAGGGATCGCTGTGCAGTGAAAGCAGCAATCCCTCTTGCTGTTCTGGCTTCTGGGATAGCTGCGCAGCCTGCATTCTCTCCATAAGACGCACAGACATTTCCCCTTACAGTGGTGCCTCGCAAGACGAAATTAATCCGTTCCGTGAGTCTCTTCGTCTTGCGGTTTTTTCGTCTTGCGAAGCACGGCTATTAGCGGCTTAGTGGCTTAGCGGCTATTAACGGCTTAGCGGCTATTAACGGCTTAGCGGCTTTAAGAAAAAGGAAACAAACTCGCAAGAACGAAACGTCTTGCGAAGCAAGCCCATAGGGAAATTCGTCTTGCGGAACGACTCAAAAAACGGAAAACCCTTTCGTCTAGCGAGTTTTTCGTCTTGCGAGGCATTTGTCTTGCGGGGCACCACTGTACTTTTTAGGAGGAGGGAAAAGTTGAGTCTTATAGAGCAAAAAATACAGTATTTGCGAGACCCTTAGGTGCTTTCGGAAGAGGATCAGACAAATTCGTGGAGCCACAATGGCTCTGCTCGGAGTTGTGAGTGGGGAGGGCACTGATGTTGCCCTATCTGCGGGCATCAATGGGTGGCATTTGATGGGCCACTGAGAACAGGAAGCTGGGCTAGACGGGCCCCCTTTGGCTTAAGAGGGCACTTCCTGGGTCAAAATAGCAAAACTCCTCACCCAGCTGACTTCCCAGCTCCTGTATCCTTTCCAGAGCCTCTGGAACTTCCTGCTCCCGCAAAACCATTGCCTCCACCTCTCCCACGGCATAGCCAAAGTCCATCTCGTCGAGATCCACCGTCAGGCGGAGGCTGGCAAGGCGGTATTTGCACCGCCGGGTGACGAAGCTGGCAAACTCCTGCAGGCCCAGCTCCTCCACAGCTCTGGCCACATCGCTCTGCCAACCCGTGGCCGGGTCCACGCCCAGCAGGCCACAGACGCGGGCCACGATGTCTCGGGGGCAGGTCACTTCCTGGTATTGCGTGGCCAGGTGCGTCCTGCCCTCTAGTGGCTGAGGCGGGTGCTGCGGCTCGTGGTTCCGGGCTCCGGCTGGCCGTTCCGGATGGTTCTGCTGCCCCCGGCTAGCAGCGGCGCCCTCTAGTGGTCGCAGGGGGGATTTCAGCTCCCAGCCAGCCCCTTCGCGCTGACGGAGCCAATGATCTGCTAGCGTAAGGCGCCAATTGGGAACGTCGTAGTACCGGTCACGGAAGGAGACGCTGGCTTCCGGTATCACCCCCAGTGCCTCCAGCTTCTGCACGGCGTCAGGCCCAAAAGGAACTTCTGCTCTACCTCAATGGCAGCCCGAGGCGGAATCTGTACAAGGGAGCAGCAACGAATTAATTCTGATGCAGCCTATATATATATGTACATAAATATAAAAACTGATTTGCCCACCCCACACATTCCCTGACACAATTCTGCATCGGCCCCATCCTGATCGGAACGCTTAATTTTTGAAATGCTTTTCTAAAGTAGGAGACAGAAAATAAACCCCAGGCTCAAGTCTTACCTACTCCCTTGACTTGGGAAAAAATTCTCACCCCGGAGGTTTTGGGGAAGAGGGGGAAGTCATCGCTTGCCAAGCAAAGGCACTCAGAGAGCCACCCTCTTAATGGCCGCCCTAAGCCCCGATTTTTAATTAATTAATTTTCTAAACAACGGTGGGCTGGTCAAAATCTGCATTATTACATTTACAGCCCATCGAGTAGAAATTAGCCGACTGCTCTTTACCCTGGCCTTTGACACAGAACAGAAATTTTAGGATCTCCTCCCCATTCTTGTGCCAGTACTGTAATTAGTTTTAAGCGTCTTTTAATGCTATATTTTGTTCAGTTTATTGCCTGCCTATCACCTGAAGTTCCCAGGGCGGGTTACGACAAGGTAATCCCTATGCTTCTTTGTCTCCCCATGGAGCCTCGAGTAGGACTCTTTACATTCTATGCACTTTTTCCTGGCAATGCTCTGGGGGCTCTTTTTTTTTTTTTAATCTATTTCTCAACAATTGCACAGAGCCATAAGTATGGGGTCCTAATGAATGTGACATAGATTAGGGTCCTGCACAGGGCCGGATTTAGGTTTGATGAGGCCCTCAGCTACTGAAGGTACTGGGGCCCTTTATATGTCCAGCTGCGCTTTGTCAGCAACAAATTGTCACTGTTTTTTGTGTTGGATATATGCTATATGGTAATTTATGGACCTCATAGGTCCATACACAACACAAAATACTGTTGCCGTATGTAGGTTTGATTTTGTTTTTTATCTTATATTTTGGAAATGTGCATCCAGTTGTTGTTTTTCCTTTAAATTTTTCAAGGTTCCCCAAGAGAGTGGGGCCCTAAGATATACAGCGGCACCTCGGGTTACATACGCTTCAGGTTACAGACTCCACTAACCCAGAAATAGTACCTCCGGTTAAGAACTTTGCTTCAGGATGAGAACAGAAATTGTGCTCCGGTGGCATGGCTGCAGCAGGAGGCCCCATTAGCTAAAGTGGTGCTTCAGGTTAAGAACAGTTTCAGGTTAAGAACGGACCTCCAGAATGAATTAAGTACTTAATCCGAGGTACCACTGTAGTTTGTTTAGCTTCTATGGCACTGCTCCTGCAGCATGCCTTAATCTGGCCCCGCTTGGGGTGGCTGTCAGATTAATCCCCCCATAAAACAATACCCACCTTGCACCCCGCATTCTCCCTCCCCAATGGCCTCTGCCTTTGCCCCACACCGCCCCCTACCGACGCCCTCCACTGCCAGCCGACTGCACGCCGCGCAGCAGCAGCGCCCCCTGGCGGCGGGGGTTTCCCCTCGGCGCCTCCGACTGACCTTTCCCGGCCGGGGAATCCGGAGACTCCGCCGCCTCCTCGCCGCCATCGGAGCCCGACGCCATGTCGACGCCCGGCAGAGAGGATCGCCGGCCAGAAGAATGCACAGAAAGCGAGAAGAATACGCTGCAAAAATAACGCAAAGAAGCGAATCAATGCACTTTGCAAACCGGGGCTTAAAGGGAGACCAAGCGATGCATATTTTTTTAATTTAAATTTTTAAAGCATGCAAAATAATAAAAATAAAATAAAAGTAAATCACAAATGGAGGAAGAGGAAGAGTGGCAAGGAGGCAGAAGGTGGCTCCTGGTGGGAGGCGCAAAGGCGCCTGGGAGTTGTAGTTTCCCCGCCCCTTCCTCCAGGCCGGCGAGCAGGTGCTTTCGCCGCCCGGCTGCTCCCTCCTTCCTTTGCTTTTTCCCTTTCTCTCTCTCTCTCTCCGCGCTCTGTTTTTTTATTCCTCTCCCCCTGCGCCTGTCTCGCTCCCTCGATCACGGTTGCCACGGCAACAGGAAAGCTGCAATTAAGAACAGCGGGGGGGGGGAGTGCATTGCCAAAGAGGGAGGGGGCGCGCGCTTAACCCCTTCCAGGCAGGGCCCGGGACGCCTGGGTTCCCCAGGAAGGATGATGGGGAAGAGAGGCAACGCTGAGTTCTGTCTGCAGCCCTGGAAGAAATTCCTTTTTTCCTTCTTCGTTTCTCTCCCTTTAATTTCTACTATATGTTGCGTCCTGCCCACTCCCCACTCTGAAATGGAACTCTTCGAAGTGACTAATAATAATTAATTCAAAAAAGCAAGTTTCGGCGGGTTGTTTTTTTTAATTGCTCCGTTAGATGAATGGATTGAACAATATTTGCTCGGCTAGGAAAAAAAGTGTTGCCAACTGCAGATTTGAAAAGATTCGTGTCTCATTGGGGTGATGGTCTTTCAATAAAAGAATATTTGTATTTTCTCCTGGCGAGGAGGAGTTGACATGGATGCAGGTAGTGCAGATTGGGAGGTAAACTTCAGGAGATGAATCCTGACACCTTGGACCGGAAACTGAGAAGCAAATCTACCTGCACTGAGATATTTCACAACATCTGCACACCTTTCCTATAAAGGGCATGTCTGCGCGTCGTAAAAAGCCTTCCTCACCCAAACCCCATTTTCCCCAAACGTGGCAAGGAATCCCAGGCAGGCAGGTGTGCCACACAGACCGAAGGTAGTCCAAGAATATAGATGGTTTAATTTCCTCTTCACTTCATTGAAACTAGTCAAATAGACAGAATAGCTTTGCAGAAGCTAAGCTGCCTGGGAGATCTGCCAGGGACCCCAACTTCTGTTGGGGAAACAGCAGAGATAGAATGGGGTGCTAGAATTTCACAATGGCAGGAAAAGATCATAACATCATTTGGAAGAACGGCCCAAGGTCATCCCATAGCTCTGGCCTTTAGGTTTTATTTATCCCCCCTCCCCAATTTTGTTAAGGTTTTTAATAACACAATACAATTTTCAAAAAACTAAATAATAAAAACCAGATTTTGTCCTCCTTTAGGTTTTCCAGGAAACCCAGGTGCAGTTCAATGGCTTCTTTGGCAAAAATAAACTAGCAAGGTGGATTATGTTGAAATCATATCAAGCGCTGACATCCCATAACCAGCAGGAAGGATTATGTGAAATTGGCAAACCGAACAGGCCCAGGAAAGCCAGTATTTACCACCCTTTCAAAATACAAGGAAATTCAAATAAATGTGTCTCCCAAGACTGCCTTTCCAGACTAGATGGCCAGACCTGTTTTTGAATTAATTCGAGAATGTTCTTAGGTATGTTCCTTTGTAAGTAGAGGCAATTAATTGTTTTAAGACTTTTACGCGTAATTAAGAGTCAGGGGTGGCTCCCTGGCTGTGAAAAGTATTAAAACCAGCACCTGTGACATTGAGCTACCTTTCTTTTTCCTGTAAGATTGGTCCAGCTAGCGGTCACTATAATATCTCATTTATTAAAGGGCTTTTGCTATTAGCCTGGTCACTGTCCCTTTATTTCAAGTACTGTAAAATTTTCACCAGGGAACAAACCAGAGCCAACCAGTTTTTGCATGATGGAGTCTTTGTGAAATTTGCAAGATTTGTATAATTCTTTTTTTAAAAAATGGCATGTTTTTAAATGGGTTGTAAGTCAATGTGTTGTAAGCAACCAACAACTAGTTCAGAATACTAATAATTTTAACAAAATTAATTTCTTAGCTTCTAAGCTGTGAGAAGACACTTTCTTGAACACAGCAATCCAGTTAAAGCACATTGCTCCCCGCTCCCAACCGAAGAATCCTAGGAATTGTGGTTTGTTAAGGGTGCTGGGAATCATAGCTCTGGGAGGGGTGAACTACAGTTCCCAGAATTCTTTGGGGTGGGAATGTGCGCTAAAGGTATGAGGTGGGTGTGACTTTAACCAGCTATTCCTTTGGAGATTACCTTAAAGGAGGAATTCTGTGTTTTCTCTTCAGTTGGGACGACCCCTCTTCTTGTAAAGATGATGAAAACAAAGGAAATCAAGTTCAGGGCTTCAGAAACGCCCAGATGCAAATGTATGCTAATTTAATCGATAACTTATTTGATTAATCTGCTCCAGCTCATATGATTAAGCAATTAAAAATGCCTCTAATTGGGTTGCAGCCTTAAATAATGATGGATGGCAGGAACAAAGCGCTGCGCTTATACGACACCAACTTCTAATGCTTTCTTAAAGAGTTGGGAAGATCACACCAGAGTGCTCTGAGTGGGGGATGTCCTAAGAGCATGGGTAGGCAAACTAAGGCCTGGGGGCCGGATCCGGCCCAATCGCCTTCTAAATCTGGCCCGCAGACGGTTCTGGAATCAGTTTGTTTTTACATGAGTAGAATGTGCCCTTTTATTGAAAATGCATCTCTGGGTTATTTGTGGGGCCTGCCTGGTGTTTTTACACGAGTAGAATGTGTTATTTAAAATGAATCTCTGGGTTATTTATGGGGCATAGGAATTGGTTCTTCCCCCCCAAAAAAATATAGTCCGGCCCCCCACAAGGTCTGAGGGACAGTGGACCGGCCCCCTGCTGAAAAGGTTCGCTGACCCTTGTCTAAGAGCCTAGACATTCCCTGATCCGAATTTCCCGTGCCATAAACTTGGTAGGAAAACTAAGAATTTCTACACACAGATGTACAACCAGAACCCTGACAGCTCTAGTTAGAAATTGCAGGGGGGGGCACTTTGGCCTTCCAGATGTTCTCAGACTCCAGAACCCGTCATGACCAATGGTCAGGGATGCAGCCACTGTGGGGTTAAAAGGAACTCAGCAGCAAAGCCCAGTCCAGTAAGATGAACGGGGCAGTCAGTCAGCCTCCAATTCCCTGCCTTCCTACGACCAGTCTCGCAGGTGGCTCTGGCTATCACCTTTGTCCTCGTACACCGCAAAACTAATTTGTCGGCTCTCTGGCGCCACCTAATGTTGGCCTCCCTGCCTTCTACCCTACCACCAGTGTCCATCACCGGATCACAGGACCTGAGCTTTGAGTGGCTGGATGCAAAAGAGGTCTGGGCTCTCAAATCTTTGTGTAGGGGGGAGTTTGGGTAGATAACACTATGGCCCTTGGCCCTCTTCTCTTTTGCCCTGGAGACCCCTGAAGAGGGCGGGAATCCCGGGCTCAGCGCTGTGGGTGGACAGAAGACCCCCAAGGGAAGAGACCACCCTGGGGATGGGCAGGCCATGCAAAATCATTGCCCTTTGCAGAATGAGAAGATTATTGACCGGCCTTGCAGAGATGCTGTAAAGCAATCGCCTTGCTGAGAAATAAATGCAATTATTTATTGGGGTGTATCTCATCTATAATAATGATGATGGGGTGGGCCGTAGCTCAGTGATAAACCACTTATTATTCACAATGTGACGTCCGAGATTCTGCCAGCCAAAAGGATCGGGTGATGCTGAAAGCTCTTCTCGGTCCCAGAGACACTAGGCGAAGTGGATGACTCATTGGGCCTGGTATAAGACATCAGGACAGCAGAAGACTCTGGACCACAGCAAAGGCTCTTCCTTGATAAGGTTTCCTCTTCTTGCAGAGGCCAAGAAGCCTGGAAGCAGGAAACCGAGCGCCACAGCGCTCTGATCAAGGGGGGTTGGCGCGACCCCCCTGTGAAGAAAGGTTGCAGCGCCTGCGACTTTGGAGTTTGCAGAAAAAGGCATGTCAGGGGCGACGTGATAGAAGTTTTAAAATCATGCTTTGCATGGAGAAAGGTTTCTCTCCCTTTCTCACTAGATGTCGTGGTCATGCCAGGAAGCTGAAGATTCGGGACAGGTAAAACAAACTCCTTCTTCACACAGCAGATGGTTAGCCGGTGGAACTCCCTGCCACAGGAGGCCACTGACTTGAATGGCTTTAAAAGAGGCTTGGACAAATTCGTGGAGGAAGAGAGGGCAGTCGATGGCTACTAGCCACAAAGGCTGTGCTCTGGCAGCAATACCAGTCCCTGGAAACCTCCGAAGGGGAAAGGGCCCTTGTGTCCAGATCCCACTTGCTGGTGTTCGCCAAGCTGGCCACTTGAGACCAGGCTGCTGCACTAGGCTGGGTCCTTGCGGCCTGATCTGACCTCTTCCCTTCTGACTCTGCCCTACACCTGCCTGCCTGACCTACCTCGCAGGGTTGTTGTGCGGAGCGCAACAAAGCCGCGAAGCAGAAGCCTTGCTTTGGAAAGGCACAAAGGCAAATCAAGGCAGCCAGTGAGAGGAGGACGATGCAGACGCCGGCGGCTGCTGCTGGAGCCTTGACCTTGCCGGCTCCGGAGGCGGGGGAGGGACTACATTTCCCATGATGCTCGGCTGCACCTGCCGGCTGGCTCCTCCCTCCGGTGCGTGGCTGTGTGTATGTGTGTGTGTATGCCTGCGTGTAGCTGTGTGTGTGTGTGTGTGTGTGTGTGGCTGCGGGGAGGCGGGGGGCGAGCGCGGGGCTGAATTGATTATTCCATTGTGTTGGAAGGCAGCCGCCAGGTCCGCGGAGCGAGGGAACGAGGCAGGCGGGGAGGCGGACGAGTGTAAATCAATGGGGAAGCCCCGGCGCGGCG